GGGGGGGGGGGGGGTGATAAGATCGTTATTAAAAGCAATTGGTAAACAAATGATATGACATACAGTCCGATCTTTCAACTCCTTCTTCGACGTCGGCACTTTGCGAAAAAGGCAACCACCCCCAGCCGGCTAGTCGGCCGCCAGGGGTATGGAACATGCGGAAGTTATCCCCATCGCCTACACTCGTCACTTGTCCGAATATGCTTCGTTTATGGAAAATAGGTCGGGGAGATACTGGTTGCGAGGGGGATACGGCGCAGGTACTTGCGGTGGATCCGCAGACAGAGTAAGATGCCGCCGGAGAGCAGGAGGGTGGGGACTAGGTTTCGTGGATCTTTGAACTCGCCGGCCCAGTCGCGGGCGCTGAGGGAAGCGTTCCAGTCTCGTGTTGGCGGGTGGGGAGTTTGGCGCGAGGGTGTTAGTGGGTTGGAGGTATTTGTATGGGGGTTCGCGGTGAGGGAAGAGCAGTTGGCGCACTGGGCATGAAAAGGCGAGGAGGAGGAGGATGTTTCTGCTTGTGCCGGGGTGTGTTTCGTATTGTTGTTCTCGTTATTGGGCATCTGCTGCTGCGGGCTGGATGACCAGAACAGCCATCGCATGGCGATTTATACGCCCTTTTCTTTCCTCTGATTATTTGGAAGTGGGGAGAGGACAGCAAAGTGGCAGGGAAGTGAGCTAAGTGTGCAAAACTGTCGTGTTTTGTTTGGAGTTGATGTCACTAGCGTTGGCTAAAAGACCTGGGGTTCGTTTGAAGCTCGGCTCCGAGACATGTCACACGGGAAACCAAGAAACAGCTCTACAATTTTCTAGTACGGATAGTCTTCTTAAAAACACAGGATTTTGTGATGTCAACGAATACATCAATCGACTTGAGCTGGCCATTAATAAAAAATTTCAAAATGAGATCCATAGTTGAAAGAATATCACATGTATATGCAAGAAATCGTCCCAACACAAGCTTCCCACTATGTGCTACATTTCATTGTATATCACAAAAAGCCCACCATCTATGAAATGAAAACGAAAAGAAAGAGGAAAAATCAATAAACGTGTACGTATCACACAGAAAAAGGACAAGATGGGAATTTTTGTACATTTAATTTAGGTATAGATGTATGAACGCCACGGATAAAATGAACACGCCTATTTCAGTGTTACGGGGAGAGAGGCCTTCGCCTTCTGGGCTGCCTTCTCCGCTGATTGCTCAATAGCCTTCTTTAGTCTGGACTGTTTGAGCTTCTGAAGGTATGTGAAGAGGAGAATGAAGAGCAGTTCAACCCTACATAATATGAAAGGTTAGCAGATCCGCGGCCTTTCTCTACTTCCTCCAATTTGAAGGTGTCAAAAAAAGTAGGGACAGGGCTTTTTCCTTACCGCTCTTTTGTCATCATCAAAAATCCTTGAACCAGCAGACCCTTCAATATTTGAGGACCAATTCCTTTAAACAACGCGAGTGGCCCCTCATGTTCGATGATATATTTCATCACCTCGCCAAAAGTCTTGAATGGTTTGCCTTGTCTGATGGCTGGTGGTCGGGACTGTAACCCGACTTTGGCCACGATCAATGGCTGGGTTGCGATTGTCGCGAGAGACTTAGACATGGCGCCCAAAACTATCCGTCCATTGTCATCAGTAAATATGTTCAAGATGGGCGGAATATATCTATCTATCTATATATATTAGGAGAGGATTTCACTTACGGAAAGCTTCCCACGGTTTCAGACTGGCCTTGCCAGAGAATAAGATGTCCTTTAGTCTCTGATAAGTTCCGTATGTAATGGCGGGATTGACCACAAGGACAAGGCTGGCTTTGAGGCCTCTCCACAGTCCACTCCATCCGTCCTCACTGTCAATGACTTCCCTCCCCGTATCAAATAACCCCTTTTTCTCCCCTTTGGGCTGTGTTTGCTGTCTGGTTGTAATGACGGAGACGGGGATTGTGAAAACCTGTGCGATCGCACCGGCAACGGCTCCAAGGGTGAGTTCAATGGCGGTACCCGGAGGTTTCTGAAAGCGGTCCGACGACATGTAGACCGTTCGTACGATCGTATACCAGTAGAAATATGCAAAGTTGGTCGACGCTACGCCAAGAAGGGAGCCATGGATGCCCGCATAGAGACCGCTGATACCCTCATCAGCTACGATTTTGTTGAGCGCGTCTATCGTCGAATCGTAGTGGACTGTGTCGCCGCCGGGTACGTGACCGTTTTCGACTTTTGAAGGCTTAATTTGGACCTGGAGCCGGGTTTTTACACTGGTTGGCAAATAATGTCAATATCAGCTTCTAATTTATTGATTCTTTAGGGACAGCGGAGTCAAAAAAAATTTATCAAAGGCTCGCTCACATGTCCAATGGATATACTAATGCATTTGCCAGTACAGCTCCTGTGGCTCCTGCGATAGCGCTTTGCAAGGGCGAAAGACGCACCGGCTTTGACTGACCGGCCATGGGCCCTAATTAGAAAGTTGAAGTTGCCTTGTCAATGAGCCTGTTAGGAGGTTACTTTGCTAGCGGATTATCTTCAGCATAAGCGAAGGCAAGGCAGATGGCGGGGAATAGCAAAAGCAGAAGGCAATCCGCTAAACACGGTAATGCAAAGAAGAGAAGAGTGTGAGTATCATAGAATGCCACCACAGGATAGGACGAGATTTGTATAAACACCCCAACACATAGAGAGCAAGAGCGCGTGCGAGAGAGGAGGTAGTGGTTAAATAATTTGTTCGTCAAAGAATTCCCGGCTGGTGGGTGACGCTCCCGCCAGGAACGAAAACCACTCCAGCTGGCCCGCAAGAGATGGAGCCGAGGCATTGCAACGGCCAACGACACAGACCTCGTGGATGGACCAACTTCAGGGAAATCAGAACCTAGTCTCAACGACTTTTATATCTATATATGAGAATTCAAAAGAGGATCATAACGACACAATTCTTATTTTCGTTTCAGGTTAGGATTCTATTTACAGCAATGTAGTTCCACGTAGAGTTTTTGATCTTCAAGTGATTCTCAGAAGAATCCTTTCACATGAACTAACATCCAAATCAGGGCGAAACATGTCAGCCACAAATCTCATGGGGGTTATCGCTAGTTCAGCAGATCTATCTGTGTGTATTCTACGGGGCTAACCACCAAGCTAAGGAAGCCTGGACACCAGTTAGTTTGGTGTCCTACATAGCAGAAGCAGTTCAATGTCAATCATCTTGGAACCAGCAGACTCGCTGGCTTCAAGACCGGTTTGCTACTCAGTGTCTGGTCACTGGGATCTTCACCGACATCTTGCCGGATTTTGAGGAGTGAATAATTTATCCCGGTCTGAGGTAACAGGTGCTTCAAGAGAGCAGTCACTGTACTCGGAAATGGAATCACAACGACTGCGGATATCGGTGTTCGGTATTTCTCCGGGCTTCAAGCTTCAACTTAGTCACCCACATAGTTGCTGGTAACTAGCTAACTAAATCAGACCTAACTCAACCTCACCGCCTGCCCCACCACCAAATCCAAACAAGCTCCAACTACGCTTTTCTTATTGCATCATCGTCATCTTTGCCAAATTCCCTGTCCAGCTCTGTCCAGCTCCGTTTAAGCGCCATCGGCTTGTTTGACTCTTGCAGCCGCCAGAGCCCATGTACGCCAATTGAACATTGGCCTACTGTTGGGCTGAATTTGCTTTCCGGGGTGTGGTAGAGCATATCACATCGGGATGCCGCCATTGCCCTCAAAACTGGGAGAGCTTGAGATTCAGGCACGGGTAAACACTTCCATCTACAAAACATGCCCATTCAATTGGTGATTCGTTTTATTATTTCCAAAGTAATTATAACAGCAAACTAGACTAACCACGTCTAATTAGAAAGCAGAGAAGGATGTGTCTAAGGCTGCAACTCAGAGAGCTGCTTTGGATGCAGCAATCAGCGCGGTTGAAAATTACCTGAAAGCGCTTACGCTGGCTAGCTCTCCTAGCGAAAAACAGCGGCTAGATGCAAAATGTAAAGAACTTCTCAGAAAGGCAGAGGATATTAAAAAATCAGAATTCTGGAACCAACATCTACAGACACGTACCAACACCAGCAATAGCAGCAGCAGGGTGAGGCCCAGGCTTCGAGAGCCAGTTTCCACACGGAATCTTTCCAATAGGGAGCAGATCATTCTCCTGGAAGATTCGAAGCTCAATGGATATGTATTTCCTCCTTGGTCAGCGGTGCCGGATGCGGGGGAGTTTGAGCTCGAAGAAGATGGCGACCAGTTTACGTATGTAAAAGCTGACGTCGTAACATGTCCCTTTTCCATGGTGAAGGATGAAGGTCTGATCCGTTACGCAATAGGGACTCGTGCGATCTTCCGCTCTCAGAGCTACAGTGCGAGATTTTCAATGGCTGGAAACGCCCTGCAGACATCTTAGGAGCCGGAGTGGCTAATGATTATGGGAAGAGTCATTCCCTAGTTATGAAAAATGAACAACCTATAGATCTAGTACAGGATGTTACGACGGATTGCTCCGTTGTAGCAAGCCTTTGTGCCATTATATCTCAAGTGCAAAGAGGATATTCAAAGGCATGAATGCGTGTGCTTACCCACCAATCAATTCTGGTAACCAACAATGAGAACGCAGCTAAAAATTGGATGTATACTTTTAGGTCTTCGCAATCAAGTCTTACCCGTCAGAGGAGCAGACATTCAGCCCAAAGATATCACAGTCAGGGAAATACATATTTCAAATGCATTTTAACGGATGTTACCGGAAAGTTGTAATTGACGATCATCTCCCCTCTTCTAAAACTTCGAGGTTCCTTCATGTCATTGACAGGCAAAACCCTGCATTGCTATGGCCAGCACTGGCCGAAAAGGCATATTTAAAGGTTAGAGGAGGCTACGATTTCCCCGGAAGCAATTCTGGGACAGACCTTTGGATCCTCACCGGCTGGATTCCGGAACAAATATTTCTGCACGACGAGGACGTCATCTCGGATCAGCTGTGGAAACGACTGTTCAATGCATTTAATTACGGCGACGTATTAATCACTGTTGGCACAGGATCATTGGCTGAACAGGAAGAAGAGGAACTTGGCCTTGTGAGCTTGCATGACTATGCAATTCTTGATATGAAGGAAGACAACAGCCGTCGCCAATTCCTTGTCAAGAATCCTTGGGCAGCTGGCTCCGTTTGGGAAGGGATTGGACAATCCCACCTTCCTGATACTGAAGGTGCCAGTGAATACAAACACGACCAGCACCAGATCCATCGCCCTCTATCCCCAGGAACATTCTGGACTGATTGTGATAAACTGCTTCAAAATTTCGAAAATTTATATTTAAATTGGAACCCGACGCTCTTTCCTTATCGGCAGGATATCCATTTTACTTGGGATCTTTCTTCTGCCAGTTCCGTTCCCGGCTGCTTCGCTGAAAATCCACAGTTTGCGGTTGGTTCCAAAGCAGGAGGCTCCGTCTGGCTCCTTCTTAGTCGACATTTCAATTCTGGAGATTACATCAGACCTGGAAAGCAGCTTATAGACGTGTCGTCTGAAAGTGATGAACCCGGATTTATTAGCATTTACGTTTTCAAAAAGGGAGGCCAAAGAGTCTGCGTGAGTGATGGGGCCTTAGGTCGGGGTGCTTATGTGGATTCGCCTAACACACTAATGAGATTTGAGATGCCTCCAAATACTGTTTATACGGTTGTGGCTGCAGAGCAGTCCCTACGGAGGTCGAGCCAGAATTTTTCTTTATCCGGATTCTCTACAGCGCCCCTATCTATTTCACACGCCACTGAGCGATATGGGTATGTTAAGAAGCTCCCTGCTGCATGGACGACAACAACCGCTGGAGGCAATGCAGATTCACCAAAGTACCCTGCAAATCCACAATTCAGGATCGATATCTTAGAGGCATGTGATATTGCTATTATCCTTGAGACTGCGAATCCTGAGCTAGCCACGCACGTCAAGATAGTGTGTTCAGACGGCAAGCGTGTTTCCAGCGTCCGTTCTCGGGACGTTGCTTTTGACAGCGGAGACTACCGCCGTGGCTGCTCTTTTGCTGAACATTCCGACCTAGCCAGGGGCTCATATACAGCCGTCTGCTCCACGTTTGCACCCGACCAGCTGGGCAAGTTTAGTCTCTGGATCAAAACGACCAAGTCATGCAATCTAAAGCCTCTGCCGGCTGAGGGGGCTGGGCAATTGAGCACGTTGTCCGACATTGGCAGATTTCCGCCAGGTACGGATAGAATTCTTGCCCCCATCACTACATCTCGACTGGCCAGAATCACGGCCATTGTGAGGCATAAGGGCTCGTGGGCGGGAGCCCGGAGTGTCGCCCCGTCGCCGATTTTAATGACTCTTGAGCTAGGACAGGGTCCGTATAAGGATATACTAGCATCATCCGGCGATGGGAGTTTCAGCAATTCCGTCAGTGGAATACGCATAGAGGAATTCGATTTGCAGCCTGGTTTCGAACGTCAGGGGGGGCTGTGGCTTGTCGTGGAACGGGTTGGGGGTCCTGGTGGTCAGGTGCATGATACGATTGAGCTGGAGATCTTGTCTGAGGAGAGGGTGACGATCGGTCCATGGGGAGTCGGTAACGGCTGAATACATGACTCCCGTAATCTGGCTGTTGAATCTTCCATTTTCATACAGGCATGCTGTATGTGCATGTTCTAGCCATATCCTACTAAATAGAGAGTAGTGGGAGGGATAGCATAGCAACCATGAACCATTCATATTTCTAAGGTACCATTTTCATTGGGCACGTCGAAATCAAGAATGTAGATGCGGTTGCTAGCCTTAGCTGCTTGTCTATATGGCGCTGTTAAGGTTGGCACTAACAGTCTGATGACTAATATCCTCACCCACCAACGTCATCTATATCTGCAGCTCCCATCTTCAGCAACCCAGCAATCCGTACTTTGGCGCTTGCTACTCAGCAGCTTTATTCAAATTCTCACACCATGGCAACTGGTATTCCGACGAAACTGAAAGCCGCGGATATCACCCGCTTTGTCACTCGAGCGTCGCAGCTCGAGAAATTGAAGCCGGTGATTGCATATTGGTGTAGGTTAATTCAAGGCTGACCCTTAGCTATCAAACAGAACGGGACTGATACTTAGAGACTCAACTACAGGCAATTATTGGACTGTGAACCAAATACTATCAAAGGGACTCCACAATACAGATGGCGAATGCCTAAAATACACGACAGATCTTATGGATAAGTTAGAGAAGGTTGGTTGGCCTGGTTCTCCGTGCTCTCCACGTAGATAGTGATTATCTGGGTTAACTTATCTTGTGATATCCACTATAGTTCAAATCCGAACACGCTGATGATGATACCGTCATCGATGACGCTGCTGGACAGGCTTATGTGGAGCAATTTGGGTTGGAAACTTTCCAGCGGGCTGACAACGCTGTCCGGGCCAATAAAGCTTCATTGTTCGCCAGCGGACCTAGAGCCCTAGCTTCTGTACGTGCGATTTTTGGCTGATTGTTTTGATTAGACAAACTGCGGATACGTTCCAAGCTGCGGCCACATTCCTAGAGCTATGCCAGATATGGGGTCCGATAGATCCAGAAACAGCTACCAAGATTAAATTTGCAAAATATCACGCTTTGCGCATTGCCAAAGCGCTTAAGGCAGGGGAGGATCCGAATTTATCGAATCCGTCGATGGAGGAGGAGGAGGAAAACTTACGAGACGGGCCCACCTTGGACCCCAATGATCCTGAAGTTCAAGCGCTAAATGGGAGCCCATCACAATCGGTGCCAGAAGTCAAACTACGACAACCGTCCGTAGAAGATGTCCCGGATGAGTTTGACAGCGAGGAGCGAAGATTAGCACAACAGTCGCTCCTAAACGAATCCCTCCACCCCTCCAGAGTCTCATCTGTTCCCCCCACACGACGAGCTGAATTAGGCAATATCACAGCTGCATCTAGTACGGGCCTTCCAAGCCCACCCACGTACTCAGCTGGTATGGTAGACCTAAGCTCTGATCCGCGCCAGTTCCCTTCAAATCTCTCTCAAGCATTGGTTCCTGACCTCCCAGCAGCCCCCTCCGATTTCCCCTCCCCTGCCTCGAGCGCTCAAGATCTATCTTCCCCAGGGCCAGGTCAGCCTTCAGAGCGCAGGACATCCCTTAGCACCTTCCAATCCTTCCCGGTGCCAACCATACAGCCGGGAGAACCCGCAACGGCCGACCTCCAGGGGTCTGCAGGAAGTCGCACGCCTCCTCCTCCAGCACTTGAAGGATGGACTCGACCTTCCCCGCCCACCGCCACACCACCAACCAGCATCCAGCCTACCAAGCCCGTTCACAGTATAAGCTCGTATCCCAACCCGCTACCAAGCCAGGGGGTTGTTGATGAGGATTCGATCGCGACCGCCCAAAAACACGCGCGGTGGGCCGTGTCAGCATTGAATTTTGATGATGTCCCGACTGCTATTAAAGAGTTGAAAAATGCCCTGAGTAAGCTAGGGGCTCAATGAATTTTTTGTTTTCTTGTTACATTTTAACTACCATTGCTTTGATGTTTTTGTTTGCATTACGTGACGTCTTTTCACTACCCTTTCGTTCCAGCATTGTACTGTTTTTTTTTTTTTTTTTTCATTTATTATTTTTGTAGCAGAGGTTTGCACGAGGAATGATGAAATTTTACGGCTGGGAATTTTTGCCTTTTAGTTTTATTTTGCGATGAGGAAAAGTATGATGCCAATCAATCCTCTCCTTTTTCTGTCCTTTTCCTTTTTTCTGTTTATTTTGGTGTCGATGTTATTTTTATCGTCGGCATCTTCGGAAATTTTGTCAGATTGGAGATAAAAAAAAGGAGGGGGGAAGAGGGGGAAAGCTAAACATTCCGCAGCTTCTATATAGCACAAATCATTTTCTTGTTGGGACCCTTTTGCTTATTCCTTCTGTTTGAATGGATATATGCTTTGTTGGTTTACCATCTACGGGCTTCTATGTCCAATATCAGATACATTCCTAAAGGGGTTTCTGAGAAGATGCTTCGCTCACTTTTGCATTCGCGGTAGTTGATTCCGTTATTATTTATTATTGAACTTGCGGAGGAAGGAAAAAAAATTTACTATGGGAAATTGGAAACTTTCTTTAGAAAAGCAAAAACAACGGAGACAAGGGCTGGAGAGTTTTGTTATCAAGATACACAGTATAAACAAATTAAAAAATAAAAAAAGACCGTCTCGCCTTCAAGAGTGTTATACAATGTACCGATAATTTGATACTTCTACTTCTTCTGAAACCTCCAAGGGACAAATAAATTCAGGGTGTAATAGGTTTTCCAGGGGTAACTTTATGTCCTGCAACATCCATGGATATTGCCCCCCACACCAACAATCCCAACAGCAAGGCCCTTTTAAAAATAAGTTCTTCAATGCCAAACAACATATAAGAGCAGATACGGTCATTCGTAGCTACTAGATATAGTTTGTAAATGTATGTACCTAGTGGATACCATAAGAAGTAAATTGAATGAGAAATGGAGGTATAGATGGATACTAGTCCTCATATTCTGGACTTGGCTCCCCACCATCGGCTCTGCGTCAGTGTGTACAAAAGAGAATAGCCAAATCAGTATCGGGAACGACAAGTAGACATCAGGGAGACCCTTGCCAAAAGAAGAAAGACGAGGGGGGAAAAGCAAAATAACGTGTCCCTAACCGATTCCTTGCAAGGCCCAAGGAGGAGGCGAGAGATAAAGGTTCTAGACTCATGGTGTGATATTTTTGTGGCGTCGGCGGCTACTGCTGGTTGAAGAGGATCGCTCCTGATGGCTGGCATCGATTTGAGGATGGTGCTCCATTAGGCTTTTTCGCCGGGATATACGCAGTATCAAGAAAGCAAGGGGTTGGACACACTGGAGGTTAGGAGGGTTTCTAGTGTCTTAACTCACATTCTCATTAAATTATTGTCAGAAAGGTTTCATGCATATTTCAAAAGAGCACAGGGGAGAATGCTGTGACGGTGGAGGAGGTGGTGGTGGTGGTGGCTTGACGGGTGAAGAAAGGCTTGCAGCATCATTTCCTCTCAAACCTTCACCACATTTTTCTTTTCTCTGCGCATCTATGGGTTTAGTTTTAATGTTCCCTTTTGTTGATTGTCAATTCTCCATTCGCAAACGTTCTTGCAGTTTCATTTCTATGCCTCGCGTGTATGAAATTATGTGCGATGAAGGTATACTTACCATCTGTCTTGGTTAGGTCATCGGCCAATCTGACGTTGAGCATACGGGATTACAAGAATGGTACCTAGGATCACCCTGGACACGCTTCTCCGTATTCCTGCAAGTAATCCTCATCAGCTCCGCCCAAACCATGGAAGTATTTACACTTCTCTGGGGAAGTTCCCAGCTAAATTGCAGGTCGCGGAGAGTTGTAAGCTATGGAAAAATGAAAATTAATTTGACCACCCTCTCTCATCAAGACCAAGAAAAAAAAAAAAAAAGAATCAATTAAATGGAAGTCCTTGGCTCACAGGTTAAGTCAAGTTGCAACAAGTTCGAGGCAAACATGAGCCGAGTTAAGCCCGACATCCCCGAATTACCCATCCTGCTGCTGGGCAACATTCCTCCGCTCTAACCTGCTGCAGCTAACATTGACCGAAGACCAAGCGAGGGTTTCCTTCACAGGGCGTGGTTAGGGGACGACATCATGATCGACAATTAACGGCCCACTTGAAATTTGAGGAGGGCCATGTCAACATTGCCAAGGGAACTGCGCAAGCAATGCGAACGAGTGGATACTTCGTAACTCGGGTTGAGATGCAGGTTAAGAAGGATTGAGGTAGAATTTGTTAGAATTTGTGCTGACATGCATATCAACTACGGGAACAAGCTGCAACTGTAACTTGGAAAAGTATGCATCTTTCCAAGCCCGGCCGTCTCTCACCGTTGGATACGGAAATGAAATAGTAAACAAATCAATCGAAGTAGAATGCTATGATATTGCCACATGGCTATCAGAAATTTTTTAAAAAGAAATACATAAGATGAGGAGCCAGGTAGGTACGTGCATTGCATTCTTCAAATATTCAGGGGGCTGTAGATATGTCTCAGACCGCAAGGGCATTCCACACAGTCACTTCAACAGCTCCATGTGTTTGCGTATAGCTGCTGGATGGAGGGAAGCAAAGCCCACAAGACATGTACTGTATGAACTGAAGGTAGAAGAAGAAGAAGAAGTCAAATGGCACTCAAGAAGAGGACCATTATTATTATATTGTTGTATGCATTTCTAGGATCTTGATTCATGGGTGATTTCTTTTAAAGTTTTCCTTCCTTTTTTTTCTTTTTCCGGGAAGAAGGCTCAAGGAAACTTCTTCGCGCTGCAGCGCTGCAAGGAAATTGGGAAATGGAATTAGACTGCCGTTCGAGCATCGTGCTAGCGGGCGTGTGCAGTGGGGGGTTTTGTCCAACCAGCTCGAGTCGGTGACTCCGGCAGGATGTGTTGTTGTTGTACTGGGATACATACATGCCAGGGGCAGTCATCGGAGTTGAGGCAAGAAATTGATAGTTAGTTTGCTGTGTTATTGATGACGTGACCGATCAATCGATCAATAGTTAACTAACTGGCTAATGAGAAGAGTAATTAAGCTAGTTAACTAGACTCAATGGTCGTGGGAAACCCAGCTGAATCTTACGGAGACAGAAAAGTCAATTGAAGGGGTGAGGTGTGTGTCATGTGGAGTGTTTCAGAAGTCACTGGTACCTTGCCGCCATGGAAGGTTTGAGAAACAGCAATAGGGCGATCTCCGCAAAATTGGGGCCTGCATGGAATAAATACGACAGTGCAGCAGAGTACCGGGTACATGACATGGCTCTTTTGTTTGCCCTTTTCAAGGTGCTGCTTTTTTCTCCATTTCATTGCTGTGGCTCCATTGAAACCATCGAGTGAAAATTACGCGACAGTGCAGCTCGGCGTGGTTTGAGGGAAGATAAAGAGATAATGAGAGAAAAGTGAGGAAACACTGTTGCCATATATTCTGTTCATAGTCTCTCCTTGCAGCTCCTTTGTGTGCTGTTATTATTGTCTAACTGTGTCTTGTTTCACAGTTTCAGCCGGAGTAAATAAATATAATAAAATACCAACACCTTTGCAAATGCCTGGGAAGGGTCTCTGCAGCGTCTGACAGCCGTCTGTCCGACAGAGACCTCGTCCATAATATTGTAAGAATAACTTCGATTCCAATTGATTCCAATGCTTACGGCGTGTTGGGGACTCAGCGTTGCTACTACTGTCCCTAAATTAGCCCGCCGCTCGAGGGTGAGCCTCATGCTTGTGGCCCTCTTGTCACTCTCTCTTCCCTGTCCATCTCACTCACATCTCACTCACATCTCACTCTCCATCTTCTCTCTTCTCTCTCCCTCTCTCCTCTCCTCCCTCTCCCTCCTCTCCTCTGTCTTCACATCTCCCACAGCCTGCTCCGCTCCCTCACGGTAACTGACCCCCTCTCCACTTTCTACCTTCGACCGACGTTCCTTAATTAAATTTCCAGAACCCTGCCACCGCGGCACTGTCGCCTTGAGAAGGCTGGTCCGTCTCTGCTTCTATATCTTTATCTATCTATCTCTTTATCCTCGTTAAATCCGCGACCTGAACTGGCCAAGAATATCCTTTCCTCGCTCCCTGCGTTCTGGCTTCTCACTACCACACCGCCAACACTCCTGAGCCGTCCAGGCTAGAAACACAGCCAGCTCGTTAGCCCACGCATTTAACTAAATACCCTTACCCCTCTCAGACCACAGCCAAAGACCTTCCTGGAAACTCAGTATTTTGACGGTGCAAAGCATACACTTTTCAAATTGTTCCAAGGTTACATCTGTGTTATTTTCAATACTCAACGGATATCGCACGGTGATCTGTTTTCTATTCCGATTATTATAATTCCCCCTCTTAACGACGACACCCCTGTTGAATCACCATGTCTGGTGAGGCTAATAAGCCTGCCATCTTGATCGTGGGAGGCCTTGGTACGAACTACCCTCCAATTCCCCCAGACCTTGCGTCGAAATGCGGCGGGATTAACTGGGGAATACTGACTGACTCAATACAAACGAATTCGATAGGCTTCCTTGGCCGCTTCCTTGCCCTTCACATCCACGAAAACAACCTTGCTTCAGAGGTGCGCATCGTTGATAAGCTGCTACCTCAGTTGGCATGGTTGACACCTGAGTTCAGCGCTGCCTGCTCTCAGGACAAGTTTGTCCAGGCCGACGCAAGTCGTGAGCGTAAGTCGTTGTTACCCATATATATTATAATATTTTTATAATAGACTTGCGGTTCTTTCTTTTAATTGTAATATTTTTGAGTGGAATCCAGCTCACTAACGCCATTCCTTTTTTGGACAAAATAGAATCTTTTTCTCGGATTTTCGACCGTGCCAACGGTGCGCAGTTTGACTATGTTATCAACTGTGGCGGGGAGTCCCGGTTGTCCCAACCAGACGATGTCTACCGTCTCCGGAGTCATGCCCTCTCCGTTGCACTGGGAAAGGAGGCCGCCCGTCGAGGAATTGGTGCTTTTATCGAATGCTCCACAGCCACGGTGTACAAGAGTGATCGCGAACCCGCCAAGGAGGATGCTAAGATTAAACCCTGGTTCGCCTTCTCGAAATGGAAGTACCAAGCGGAGGAAGATCTGCGAAAGATCCCCGGTTTGAATCTTTGCATTCTTAGATTCCCTCATGTCTATGGGGAGTATGACACTGGTCTATTGAGCACTGTCATCTGCATGGGGAGAGCCTATATGGAACTGGGTAAACCCATCCCCTTCCTGAAAACCGGAAGCCAGCCCATGAACACCGTATATGTCAAAGATGCAGCTCGCGCAATGTGGAGAGCCGCGGAATGGCGTGCGAGCAAGGGCTCCATTGCAAGCGGTGACCCCATAGTTTTCAACATTGTAGACCATAACAAAACTACAAAAAATGACCTGGCCCAGGGCCTGAAAAAGGCCTTTGGCATCGAGTACAACTTCGTCGGCACGATGATGACGCAAGTCGTAAACATGAATCTGGACGAGATTATCGACGATATGAACGAGGAGGGACTGCAGGTGTGGGCGGAGCTCCTGAATGAGAAACAAATCGAAAGGCCAGGGCCGATAAGTCCATTCCTAGAACGTGATTCTATTAAGGATGGCGACCTCTTGATTGACGGATCATTGTTCGAGCAGACGACCGGCTTCACGTATGAAAGACCGACGCTTGGCGAAGATTGGATCCAGCCTGTTGTCGAAAGCTTCAAACGACTCGGATGGTGGCCTTGAGCTTATTCCCTTCCATATCTCCTTTAAACTCGTTATGAAACCAAACTTTCCTTTTTTAAATTTTGGCAGCATCCGTCCACCCAATATCTAGTGGTTATATGAAGGTGGATTTGCCTGTGTTCGAACATGTGTTCCTATGGTGTTCAGCCAAGGCCCCCGAATAACCCATACATGTTCTGTATGGTGAGCTACCTTCTTTGATCATATAAAAGTGGTAACTTTTCTGTAATATTATGTATGATGACTGTATCAGCCCCTCTCTGAATGTGTATTTAATAATTATCATCCCACTACTGTATTCTTCTCTCTCTGCTCTTGTATTGATTTCTATTCTTAACTATTCTTATTCTTACTCATCTATTTTGAAATTCTTGCATCTCTGTATAAGTGAGAAAGACTGATAATAATCTCTGCTGCTGATACTGTTGTTGAAGCAGCTGCTGCACAGAAGCAGCTATAATATAATCTTATTATAGAGATGACAGTATAGAGAGAGAATACACTGAGAATCAGCAGACAAAGCAGACTAAAGAATATACAAATAATATATACAGAGAAGTAGAATGAATAAATGATAATATATAGATTTATTTTATTTCTATTTCTTCTTTATTTCTGTGTATAAAGAGAAATGAAATTTGATAGACTAACTTCTCACTGCTACTCAATTTTCACTATCTGTATGATAGAAATAATATAATAAAAAGAAGTTTTCAGATAATCAGATTATCTCTGAGCAGAAGACAATCTGATTCTTTAGTGAAAGAGTTCTCAATCATTCATTCAGAGAAGATCATCTCAAAAGAAAGTGTATAAATACTGAGAAAGAAGAAATTGTGCAGACAATAGAAGAGAATCTGATCAAACAGTATCAAGCAGCTCTTATTAATCTGTATTGTATATAGTAAAGTAGATAGAAGAACTCTTATTCTCACTCAGTTGATCAGATTTTGAATAGTATATTAAAGACTCACAGATCTATAAAGTATATATAGAGATATACAGAGTTTGTGAACAGAGATACAGACACTCTGATAAACAGCTATACTGAGTTGAATATAATGAACTTTATACATCAGTGCTGAGAGAGATGACAGAAGAATGAAAGACATACAGTTGAGCCTCTTCTTCATATAGCAGCTGACTTTTTTATAAATCACTATATACTACTGAGAGAGCAGTTTAGATAAAAGATGCAGTTGACTGATCTGTTTACAATTGAGCTGTTAAATAAGAAATCAATATTCTACTGATTTCTTATTCAGATTATAAATAATAATAAAATAAATTAGAACAACAGACTTGAATATTCAACTGTCATACAGTATAAGAATTATATTCTTTGTTCAATATCACAAATTGCATTCTATCTATTCTATAGATAAAATATTGTATAAGAGCCTCTGTCTCAGTTCCACTATCATCAGCTCTGATATAATATTTACTTACTCAAAAATGAAAATCTGTATAAGCAGATCTTCTACAGAACTCATTTTAAATGAATAAATAAACTTTTTATATATGCAGATATATCAGAGATAATAAAGAAGACTTATACTGAATGATTTATAGATGCACAGAAGACAGAGTTTAATGAGATGAATAAGAGCAGCATCTACAGAGCTGAGTGATGAAATAATAACTTTTTAATCAGCTGCTATCTCAGTCAGATCAATCAGAAGTTTATATAAAGAATTACAGAGTTCAATTCTAGCTTGCTAAATAATTACTATCTTTCATAAGCTACAGTCACTTCATCAGAGCTGTTAAAGAAATCTCTCTGATTATAAGTAAATAAATAACTTATCTGATTTCATTCTGAGAACAGATTCTCTCATATCACTTCTTCTGAGATCTCTGATATGAGTCTGAAGCTGCTTGATAGTGAAAGTTTATTTGATTCAGATAATCTTGCAGCTCAGAGATTTTTACAGCTGTTAGATTATCTTTATACAGTAATACTACAGAACTCTGCTCTTCTTCAGAGAGAATTTTCAACTCATTCACTGTGGATTAATTCAGTGTTTTAGTATACAGAGTATAAGCAGTTTGCAGATACTGTATAGACTGCAGAGTCAGTTTTCATTTCTTCACAGAAGATAATACTTCAATGATCAGTGCCACAGATTTTCAAGAGTCTGAGCACTGTATGAAGATAGATTAATATGATGATGGATCAGATAAAGATCAGAGATGTATAAATAAAAAAGAAGATTGATAGAATTCAGTATGAAATTGATACAATAACAACTGAATTCTGAATCTTTCAGTCTGTCTCTGTTTCTGTCTGTATATAGAAAGATACTGTTAAGATTTCCTTCATCTCTGTATCTGTATCTTTATTCTTCTCTTTATCAACTGCTGCTACTGCTGTCATCACTTCTGCTATAGTATTATTAACTGAGAATAATATTTGAATATATCAGCTCTTCTGTATGATTCAATCAGTCAATAATCTCTGAAAAAAATGAAAACAGAGGTTGAATGAACAGTTCTCTGTATAGTATCTGAAGTCATTATATGAGTCTAGCTGAAGAAAAAAGAATAGTGAGTGTATGTTCTTTTTTCAGTGAAAGATAATCATTAATAAAATACTCAATCATCACTGTATAATGAAATCAAGATCTGTTCTAGAGATTGTGGAGAAGTTTGAGTTAATGTATATACAATTAAGAATAAATCTGAATAAACTCTCTGTCTTTCTCAGAAGAGCAAAAAGATAATCTGTGTATATTAACTATATTATATATCTTTTAATCTTAAATATTTATTTATTTATACACACAGACTGTCTCAGCAGAATTCATAAAAGTGAATATTCTCTCTTTCTTTCTTTTCTCTTTTGTATATAAGATATTTCCACTTTTCTCTTTCATTCACAACAACAACAATAATAAATTGATTATAAAATCCTCTCTTTCTCTATCTTCTCTCTCAACTTCTTTTCTCTTTCTCTCTTCAGCTCTTTTATTATTATTCACTGATATATATAATTTTTTTTGCATTAGAATTCATCATTCTCTTGTTGAAATTCATCAAAATCACTCATTTACTGTTTATTCTGTCTTTTTCCCACTCTGTATACTGTATGGAATGTTTATTTCATCATATCAAAAAAGAAAAACACTGACAGAGACTTGTGTATATAGTCAGAGAAGATTTTTGATTTTTTTTTTTCATAAAAAAGAAAATCAGCTTTCTTCTATTCTTCAACAGTGTTCTTCTCTTCTTCTTTTTCTGTGAATAATATGAGTATTTCTCTGCTTCTCTACTGTATAGTATAGAAAGCTGATTATAATATAAGAATTCTCATTCTATATGATTCTGTTGTTGCTCAGTGGAATCTGACTTAGATTAAATTGATTGACTTATATCATTCAGCTGCTGAATATCAAAATGAATAACAGAAATGATCAGAGTATAATATAATATATATCAGTAATTCTCAGCTGAGTATATTTTATCATAGTTCTCAATTCTGTGCTCTGCTTACTGTCTCTGACTTTGATATATTATACATCTGTATATATATCAGAGCTGATTAAGTATTGTTCCATTGTTTATTATACATCAATGCCATTCTGATTCAATTCTGTGATAGAACTCTTGTCACAGACTGTATGCAGTATTATATATTCTCTGAGCTTAAACTGTTTTCATTGTGTCATCATATATACAGTTACTTTGAAGAAGTATGTATCAACTGCAAATGATATGATCATGCAGTATGCTACTTTCTTCATAGCTCTGTAGATCAGTCTGATATATATAATAATTTTTATAATAGACAGTCATCACAGCTACAAATATCAGCAGCAGATGATGTAAATTATAATACTCAGTCTAATACACAGAATAATCTCATTCTTATTGAATAGAGTATATATAAAGCTTTTATTTTTCTGTTCTATTCTGTTCTATTCTCTCTCTTTGATCTCCATTTCTTCATTATTATTATAGATGTATATATATTATTATTATAGAGTTAGATCTAGTTGTATGAACTGTGTATGATACTCAGATAGTTGACTTGCACTTCTATACAGTGTCTGAAATCAGTAGCTCTTTAGTAGAGATGAAGTCAAGCAGATCATTTAGCTAGTGATTATATAACTTTCTATATACAAAATCACATGTATCTGAATTTAATAGTATTTCTCTTACTAAATACAAATATTCTGTATGTATGAACATGAAATTGAACACACACCAGCAATAACCAGGTTATATACAGTGACATTGATGACTGAGTGACTGCACCTCCACATATAACCTGGTTATTGTGAGGGTCAGGTTTGAACACACTGTAACCCGACCCACCTATAACTCTATTTACAGCTCGGCAAACAATGAAGTCATAACAAACCTTTTTGTTGTTTTATCTTTTTAATTTTAATTTTTGTTTGTGTTTTGCATCCTTTTCTTTTGGTTTGGGAGGCCCCTCGAACACCCTTTCGTTTATTCTCTTAATTCTAACCTCTACCGTTCATACCGAATAGTGGAGGTTGCATTTTAATTCTCATTTTTCTTTTTTTTTCCACTTTCTTTTCTCTCCTTCTTTTGCTGAAGCATCCTGCCTTTACAATATTATAATTGGAATAAATATCTCTGGGGCATTTCTGAGCGTACTGTCGACTTTTTTGTATTTCCATTTTCTCGGCACTTTTGCTGATTTTTTATGCGTACTACCAACAACAACCTCATCTTGTATATATTGCATACGACATACAAGCTTTATTCTATTTTATATCTTTCTCCGGCTGTTATTCCAATCTTGATCGCAATATGTGTATTTTGATTCCTGATCGGGACTTGGGAAGTGTTCCAAGGCTGGCACAAAGTCCGAGTAAATTGAGCTTTACTTTAGAAACTCTGGTGGGCTTGGAGACGTGTCACCGTCCTTGATGAGAGCACGCAACCACACTTCACTATTCAAGTGAATAGTGTAGAATTAACATCTTTTTGCTATCTTTTTTCAAGCTGTTGCTACCTCATAAACTAGTATGTACATACATCTACTACAGTACATGGATTTTGTTACAGGGACTCAGGAGGCTCCACCACACAATGACACGACAACACTACCAGCAAAGATGAAAGAATTAGCTTCCACGCACCGGTGTTTGGATATATAACCAGCCTAGCGGACAAGCGTAGAAGCGTAGGTAGTTTGTCGGGTGTACTTAGGCAATAAGGCTCCAGTCTCCTGGCACACCGCCCAAACAGCTCTGTCGTGGTGTTTTGGTAAATAAATTTAAAAAAAAAAAAAGGTAATTTGTTACTACTTAAAACACTTCAAAAGCTTCACCCAACACAGTGCCACGCCTACCAAGATCTAGACAACAGAAGGGCCCAAAATTTCAGTAGTTGCATCACCGTTTTGATGACTTAATCTTTCATTTGAAGATGTTGGCCTCACAGGCGTAAGGGGTGACTGGTTGAGCCTAGTGAACAGCCAGTCTCTCTCATTGGGCTGGAGAGATAGGAGAGGTGTTTTCTCTTCCACGAGAATAGTTTACAGGTTGTGTATGTATATTGACGGTTGAGGATAGTTGGTTGGCAAAAGATATGACGGTCGATGGTGGAGAGATCTTTCTTTGTATGCTGCATCCCTTCACAGCATTTTGTTTGGTTTCTGAATAAGGAACCCGGAGAGTGAACGAACGAATATTGTAAAAGAGGGAGAAAAGTTTAAGGTAAGTTTTCTGAGGCTAAAAAACTCTCTCCTAAAGAACCCAAATTTTTTTTTTTTTTTTTTTTTTTTTTTTGAAAAAGTGATATGACTCTTTCAGGGCTACAAAGTTAGTATGAGATGTATGTATCTAGGTATATGTATGGAAGTCTTTTACCAAAATGAGAAGTAAGGGGCCAAGTAGAACAAGAAGGAGCAAAAAATAATGTCAATGTAACGATTTTGAAGCATCACATTATTTTTCATTTTCCAACTGCTTAGAGAAGAGGAACGAAAAGTCTACAATGACACTGCTCTAAATTCGCCGGAAGGGGGGTACGAGTTGGGGGGATAGAGAGAGGAAAACGAGAAAATCACAACAAAGTATATAATGTAGAAAGCGGGCAGAGGAAAACATTTTCTATGCTAAAACTCCCAATCCTCATCTACCGACTTAATTGCCCAATCGAATTTTTCACGCAAGGTCTTTGAGAAGAATTTTTCTATGGGAACATTGAACTTTTTCGAAAACACCACGGTGAGACGGGGGTCGATGTAATTCTATATTTGAAACGTGAGCATTCAATCCTGGCATGTGAGGCGGGGAGAAACTTACAATTTTTGAAGTACCCAGAGCCACTTCCTTGTTATTCTCTTTATCCTCTGCTTGGAGAGACATATTTTCTATGCGTTGCGAGAGCTTAAGGAGTTGATTTTCCAATTTTTCGATGGTGATTCCTTTGCCTTCAGCTTCCACCTTCTTAGTCTTGTTCTCTCTTTTGAACTTCGCTTCCAATTCTTTCGCAGCTTCCAGGCGTTCCTCAAGCTCCTTTGCTTTCATCTCCCTTTCGCCTTCAGCAACGCGCTTCTGGTTATCCTTCTCAAACTTCTTCTTGATTTTTTGCCGCTGCTCTTCGACGAGGTAGGCTTGATGCTCCTTGATCCATTCATGGTCTAAGCTTTCGTCGAGTTCAAAGAAGGCAGACCCTTTTTTCTTCTTTATCTTTGGGTCGAGGTCTAACATCATCTGCTTAACGCGCCATTCTTGGTACCTTAATCCTTTAATCTATCTAGCATTAGCAAGGCGGGAAGATTTCATTTCAGGCGGTGTAATTAACATACTCTATCACCCAGCTTTTCCATCTGGCTCGCATGGCTCGCAGTGACAGTGCGCTTGTGGTTACAAAGAATGGCAACCTTTCTGTTAGCATCATTATAATCCTTAATTTTTTCTGCGATGGTGCCCGTTGACTTCAGATCTTTTAGAAGTGTAGCCATAGTATAAGACGCGTTGTATGTACGGAAGACCTTGGCAGTCAGACCTTGCATATAATTGGAAAGATGTTTGTTGAGAGCAGAAGTCTGGAAAATAAGTCAATTCAAACAGACCATAAAGAGACCCATAAGAAGAATGAAGACTGGAGTCTTACGGTGAGGCGGTCAAATATTTCATCGCCTTCCCTCTTGGGCGGCTTCTTAAAGATCTTGAGGTTTTTGAAGACCTGCGGGTCCACTTCCACCTCGTCATAGAACCGAATGCTATCTTTACCCAAAAAGTCGAAGATAACCGTATTTGGAGGCTTAAGGGTGACATGCTCGTATTTAAGCGAGCAGCATCCAACTGTGTCGGCCTCGTCTTCGCCTTTTTCGTTTCCAGCACGAAGAGCGAACTGATCAATAAGGTAGACGGCAGTGGCTTTCTGCCGCTCCGACATAAGTTCGTGTTTCAGGCCTTTCTTGTAATCTTTACGGATCCGATCAATGTGTTTCTAAATAGGTGTTAGTAGGAGGCAAAATGCCGAATCAAGAAAAGGATTTTCGATAAGCGTACCTTGAGTTCCCTAGCCTTTTCAAACTTCTTGTAATCACTCAGTCCTTTGATATCTGAATTAGCAGCAAGCATGACATATTTGTAGTTGCCGTTGATATTTTCCTGCCACATAGCTAACCAAGTCCCTTCCTGATCGTGTTTAACTTCCTTCCATTTGTGACCGGGAGGAGGTACCGGGACTTTGGCCTCTTTGCCAATGTTGATAGTGATTTGCTCTGGCATGACCCTAGTCTTCACTTTACCAGTTTTTGGATGTTCGCCACGGCCGCGAAATAGAGCGGGAGGCTCAACGCGGAAATTGCCAACTTTCTGCTTCCTTCCGTCCCACATACAATACATGTATGGAGCTTCAAGTTCATCTTTTTCGGCCTTGAGTCGTTTCTTCTCCGCAGACGGGAGGCTCTTTTTCTCCAAACGTGCTGCCTCATAGTACTCGAAGATTGGTTTAAAATCACACTTATCAAATGACTTGATGGCTACTGGGTTTCCATTCGGGTCCTTTGCACCACCAGAATTCTTAATATAGGCAGTGAAGTCAGTGAAGAAGTTTTTCTGGAATGTAGGGTTCTCAACATTGTGGGTGGAGTTAAGCATGGAGCCGAAAAATCCAGCAACTTCTTCAGCTTCGGGGGCGAGTGTGATTGGAATGCCGTCGTATTTCATCTTGACATGTTTAGGGAGTGGCTCGTATGGAGGAGGGAATATGACACCATTATGTTCCAAAGTTGTCCATTTGATAGTGCCATCGCCTTTGGCGGGATCTTCCCACCAGCGATATTCCTCCTCGGCATCTTCCCCCTCGAGTTCTTCGCTCGACTCATTTTTCACTGCAGCCTTGGCTTTCATTTTCTTTGTATCTGCAGGCTCAGCTTTTACAGCTTTTGATGGCTTCTTGGCAGGCACTTTTCGGGCCAGCGGAATATCTTCATCGCTGGACTCCGATATCTTAATGCCATTTACAAGAGCTTTCCTGCCCTTTCCACGTTTGTCCGTAGTAGCTGCCTTGGCTGGAGTCTTTTTCTTTGCTGCAGTTTCAGCGCTTTCTTGTTTGCGAATAGCTTTCGCTTCCTTCCCGGCCCGCTCTTCTATCCTACTCTTCTCCGCTATTAGATCTTTCCCAAGGGAACCATCCGTGGCAGACTGTGATACGGTGACTGCTTTTGCTTTCCCTTTAGCCAGCTTAGATATGATAGGGGCGTCGTCAGGGTCGGAGTCATCCATTTTCTGCTGCGCTGAGACGCGGCGGCGCTTGCTCTAACGGAAAGTCAGCCGTTGAGTTGCTTATAAGACATAAAACTTCCGACGCAGTTTTTGAAGGGGGTTGGGTAGTCGTGAGAACAGTGGTGTGCTAAAAAAAACATGGCGTACCAATGGCTTATCCTCCTCACTGCTCTCAGGTTCCGCATACGACTTCCGGACCACATCGCTTCCTCTTGATTTTCGCTTGCTTAGGCCTGCCCCATTCATTTCGGCATCATGCATCTCGGCATCCTGGGAGTCGACTGGCCCATGGCGAATGGTCAATCCCGGGTTTGCGTATCCATTCGCCTTCGGGGATGCGCTAACAGACGGATCAGTGGACTTCGAAATCAGCTCATCTGAGAGCGCAAATGTTGCTGAACAGCTATGCCATCAGTTCAAGCCCCGGAAAAACACGAGCTGGCGCATAGCAATGATGTAATTTGATAGTATGCGGTTGCTTCAAAAGTGAAATAAGAAAATTTGGCAACAAAATGGCACCATGTCTGAAGGCAAGAGCACTCTGTGCACGAGAGAAAACTTACGCTTGGAGTGTCCGTTAGATTTCCGCTTGCCAACAAGGGGCACATCATCATCTGAGGAGTTCATGACCCGCAGCTGAGCCGCGTATGAGGTCTGTTTGCGAGTCAAACAGATGCGTGTGCGAGAGAAATTCGAGGGCAAAAAAGAGACACGTAGATGACCGTGGAGGGAAAAGGCCCCGAACACGGAGGCTAAGGGGCGAGCAATGGTGAAGTGAGAGGGATGGCTGGTCTGCAAGGACAGAGGAGGCGGGGGAAAGAGAGAGTGGTGAGTCTCGAGGGCGTTTTCGAAGCTGAAACAACGCGATAAAACAGAGAAAAAGACAAAAAGAGGCGAGAATCTGGAGGACAGATGAAGTTTAAGAGGCTGAGGGCGTTGTGTGATGATTGGCTGACGATATGCTTCAGGCCAAGCTCGCACTAGTCTTCTTTAATCCTAGTGGCTTCCTCCTTCCGATGCTCCAATTTGGGCAGTTCACCCACCAGACACACAGGACGGACCGGTCGTGTATGCACATCTCTGTCCCGGCGTCTGCTCAAGTGTTGCACCCAACATCGTCTATATCTATCCTCGATTGCCAGGACTCCAACCTGTCCTGACTACTTCCTATTCCCGCAATGCTCTCTCGAAACGCTCGTCCAGCTATCCAGGCTGGCAGTGCATTTCTTGCACGGTAAGATTATTTTTGCCCACGCTCCACCCCCCATCCTCCCAATTGACTCGACCAATGTCATAGATATTGGAGTATGGATATCACGGAATCGCATATTGACACTGAGATGATGCGGGACTACTGACTGACACTGTACTTTCATACAGGAGAGCCGCCCCTGCCAATGCCGCAAATTTCGCGACACTCCGTGAAATTGAAGGCCGGTTGAAGTCCATCAAGAACATCGAAAAAATCACTAAAACCATGAAGATTGTTGCTTCCACCCGTCTTAACAAAGCCCAGAGAGCCATGACTGATTCGCGGGCATACGGCCAAACATCCAATGCCGTATTCGAGAACGCGGAAACCAAATCGCTGGAGGGCAAGAAGACCCTATTTGTCGTGGCCAGTTCGGATAAGGGTCTGTGCGGAGGCATCCACTCCGGCTTGAGCAAAGCTACAAGAAGGATGGTGATCGAACAGCCTGATGCCGATGTTGTTGTTCTCGGCGAGAAGGCCAAGGCCCAGCTCAGTAGGACCAACGAAAAAAACCTGATTTTGAGCTTCGCCAATGTCGGGAAGGATATCCCAACTTTCGCTGAAGCTCAGGCCATTGCGGACCAGATCACCCAGCTGCCAACCGACTATGCCAGCGTTAAGATAATCTACAACAAATTTGTCAATGCTCAGTCCTACGAGCCCGTTGTTGTCGAAGCCTACTCGGAAGAGGCTATTACCCAATCCCGTAAGCCCACGCCACAGGAAAACACAGAATTGAAAATGGAAAATTGAAAATAGTTTTCCTTTACTAACTTCTAATGCAGCAAACCTCTCGGCTTTCGAGGTTGAAAATGAAGTTCTCGCCAATCTCAGGGAGTATGCTCTTGCAAACAGCTTGTACTGGGCTCTTGCCGAAGGTCATGCATGCGAGATCTCTGTAAGTAAATGAGTGAACTCCCTGATTCGTCCGCTGAATGATCGCAATCTACTAACTTGTGCAACTATTTAGGCTCGCCGCAATGCTATGGACGTACGTGTTGACACTTTTATCCCATCTTTTGCGTTTATTCCCTGCTTGTAAAGTTCGCCAAATCTAACTTCACTTGGACACTACAGAACGCATCCAAGAACGCTGGGGACATGATTCAAAAGTAAGTTGGAAGCATAATCCTTACTATTTGATTTGATACCTTTATTTGCTCAATTCTCAACTCTTTCCCTAACCGCCTTCTTGTTTTTCACCGACAACAGGTTCCAGATTCTCTACAACCGACAGCGTCAAGCCGCTATTACCGGTGAACTGGTTGAAATTATCACCGGTGCCACTGCCAGTGAGGATATGTAAAAAAGCAGATCGACGCAACTCGGGGGGTCGAGAATGGATTGGATTGGACACGAAAATAGAGAAAGGACAACAAGAAATGCCAGGGCTTTCTTGGTCCCTTCTTAATATGTAGATTTCTTTTTCTTTTCCATCAACACACCGCCACAGTACTGCTGGTATTTAGAAATCCTTTGTTGAAAACTTGTAAAATCAACTCTGTTATTACTTTTCATCGTCTCCTAATATATGTATTGTCATCTCGCTTCCCAGATAGTTTAAATTCCGGGTCCTATATAAATAAATACATCATATTTTCCTCGGCCCATACGCATACCCAAATGATCCCCCATGACACTCCTTGCCTCCTATTCGCCAAAGTTATTTGCCGATCAACATATTCATCTGCTGTTCGCTTACCATACATGCATGCACTTTAAACCAGAATGCGGAGGTAGCCAATCTTTCCAAAACGCCATACCATATCCATCTGAGATGAAAATTGAATAAACTGGATAAATATTAACATATAGAAGATTGTGATTGCTAGGATATGTCAGAAATTTCGGGGGAGCCACACAACATGTTTGCTCAAGTTAAGGACTCGCAATTCAGCTTCATAGTTATCGGAAAGGTCATGGAAGCTTACTTTCCCAAATCAAGATCCGCTACGCTTACTTTATTGTCTAGGCATTCTTCTGGTAGCAATAGTTTCTAAGGAAAATGGAAGGAGCCACGGTCTGATATCAAATAAACCCGCCACGCCCATCGCTTTAAAATGTAGCCTCTTCCATGAAGGCTTCAAACCAAGTCTCCAGAAACCGGATGCCCGTGGTCAGGATTAAAAAGTCACATTAAAGGATGGTGTCCAAGTTGGATGTTACACACATGGGCGACTATTTATTCATATCTATTTAGCCATTCGAGACACCGTCGAGTCCAACCGATGCCGGATGCCGTATTGTGGAGAAACCGACAAAATTGGAGGTGTGATCATATACGTAAATTTTGGTGTTATTGATAGGCCAGCTATAAGATTGATAATCGTGCCAGCGGGGCAAAACTCTCATCGATCGAAGCGTAAGATAACAAGTTCCTGCATATCATTTTCCCCAATGATAATCCGCTCATCTCCCTGAATAAACCCCTTGAAAGCAATCTCGTGTAATAAGCGGGGCTCAAGTACGGAATATCTGTTATCCGAGTGTGGTGCCTGGATTTTGACCTGTAGGTGTTGGGTACTCTTGCAATCTTCGCGGTTCGAGATGGAAGTTTGCAGACTAAAAAAAACTTGCGCCTCTTCATCAATGGCTTCGGAAATAGTTGCGGGCCAAAGATAGGATCCTCGGAGGAAGGGGCGATTGTACATGCTCGTATTGCCACGGTATGGAGGAATGGGAAATTCGAGGGCCCTTCGCCAGCTTGGACCATAGCTGAGGAAAGGGATGCTGGTGATTTGGGCAGATGGGCAGGAAGACGTATTGATAGGATCTATTTCGCAACCAGGACCTGTACATTCCGTGATGTCCAGTACATTAGTTTCACTATTGATGTCCAACCTTATCATTTTGGGTGCTCCGCGTTGTCGAACAGAGTAAAAATCCAAGTCTCTAAAGTTAAACTTCGCCACTATAAAGGGGCATGAGGAACTGGGTTTGTGAAGGCTTGAAGGATCTGCTGACGGTTTGTAATCCGATGGTTCTGATATGTTCCATACAAACAAGGATTCGATAGGTGCATCCTCGTCGGCAGTGTATAAACTCCGGTTGGGTTGCCAAGTATATACAACGTAATGAGTTTCATTATGTGAGGAATAGAATCTATCCCGATCGCTCAAGGGGTGCCCAAGGAACATGATCCTCCACTCGTTCCGAAAGGTAACGTCCCACCCAACACTTGGGGATACAGCAGAAATATCGAATGATGAAGCGAAATGACGATGGACACTATCCAGGGAATTCAACCAATGGAATGCATCAGCCTCGGCCCATTCGATGACAAGTAATCGATGCTGAAGACGTATTCTCCGTATCACTCTGTGGACTATGTCAAAAGGCACTGGAAAAGTTTTGCTTGTTTCCAGGTCCAGCAAGAGGATGCACATATCGTCGTAGGAGACAAATGCAATTAAGCCACCCTCGTAAGTCCAAAAACAATCGTCAAAAACCCGATCAGGCTTTGACATTGAATGCTACTATGGGCTTCCCAGGGCGGTACCGGAAACAACCTTGAACCTGTGCGAATATTTTGAGTGTAGTTAGGCCAGATTTTGTATCTCTCAATGGATTGAGGCCTGCCGACATGAAGATGGAAATACCTGGCTGAGATATTGTCAAATAACTCGCGCCAATGGTTGTCGTGCGGTGGGATTCCATGCTCATTATCCAAGAGTTTCTCTTGATGATATCTACGGACCTCCCGAGCGAATGGAAAAGTCCACTTCAAAAATGTATATAGATTGAAGGGATTACCGAACGCGGCATTCCAGGATCTTGAGACGCGACGGCAATAGATAACATCTATGTAACATAGATAACTGAGGATCATTAGAAAGATATCTTGAGGCAACGAGGTTATTTCAAACCCCCGAGGAACAGTTTTGGTGAGGAGCCGCATTTGGTCGGCCTGATGCTTTGTAAACTTAAACCATAAGCAACAATAGGTACTGGCATCGACACGCCCTCTCCTCAATGCTGATATCACGACTAGAGAGGTGTATATAGGACGCCATATATTGCATGGCGTCATCTACTTCCTTTGCCAAAACAGAAATTTAGTCAGCAGAACCTCACGTGGTGATAAGATAAGGCTGCCCAATGGGGCAAACTGGACAGATTGTCGACTTGGAAGGATACCTTGATCAAGACGACGTACTAGTAGTGCAGAACAAAGAGCTTTTCAGTTTCCAGCTCTCTTCCCTCCCTGTATTCCTTGGTAATGAGTTTTTTTGTATCATTGCGTTTATGAACACTGCCCCTTTAAACTACCTACTCACTGTGTCCTGCTTTTGGCGCTGATTGAGTTGAGCTCCCACCATGTTTAGAAAGAGCTCCGCCATCCTGCTGGTTGCAGCATTCCTAGAGGCGTTGCCGGCAAGCGTTGGCGGCTTCTATACCAAAAACTCTCCAGTTCTTCAAGTGGATGAGAACAATTATGACAACCTGATCGCGAAGTCAAACCATGTTTCAGTAAGTTTTCCGAGAGCATCAGAAGTGAATGCAATTGAATTGACCAATCCTCAAGATCGTAGAGTAAGATTCCCACCTCCCTGACGTTACCCTGAGCTTGTATCTTATTACGTGTACGCGTATTCCAGATTCTACGCTCCATGGTGTGGACATTGCCAGAACCTGAAGCCAGCATACGAAAAAGCGGCCAAGAGTCTTCAAGGACTAGCTAAAGTTGCTGCTGTTAATTGCGATGACGATTCGAACAAACCATTCTGTGGCAGGATGGGAGTCAAAGGCTTTCCTACACTTAAAGTGATAACGCCATCGAAGCACCCAGGAAAACCACTAGTCGAGGATTACCAAGGCGCCAGAACAGCGAAAGCCATAGTTGACTTCGTAGTTGACAGGATACCAAATCATGTCAGACGAATTAAAGACAAAGAACTCGATAGTTGGCTGAAGGAAGCCAATGACACTGCAAAGGCTATCCTATTCACGGAGAAAGGCACTACTAGTGCACTTCTCCGATCGTTGGCTATAGACTATCATGGGTCTATCAGCGTGGCCCAAATTCGTAGCAAAGAGACTGCAGCTGTGGAAATGTTCGGTATCACCAAATTCCCTACACTTGCACTGCTTCCCGGTGGAAGCAAGGAAGCTATAATCTACGATGGAGAGATGAAAAGAAACCCCATGTTCGAATTCTTCAACCAAGTAGCGGAGCCTAATCCAGAGCCCGCGCAGGCAAAATCCAAACAGACCACGAAAGCTGGCAAGGCCACCACCTCCACTTCCACGCCCTCTGATAGCGATGCCACTGCTTCATCCACAGCCACCGAATCTCCCGAATCCAGTTCTAAAGATTCATCTTCTACATCACCCAAACCCCGTCCTATACCCAGTATATTCAGCGACTCAATGCTGAGAGAGTCTTGTCTCGCTCCGAAAACTGGAACTTGTGTCCTCGCACTTGTGGGAGTGCCTGAGGATCTATCGACTGACTCCGTTCCTTCAGCGACAGTACTCCAGGCGCTTGGCAGCCTTGCTGAAATTTCCCAGAAACACTCTTTGAGAAAATCACACCTGTTTCCGTTCTACACCGTGCCAAGTAGTTTGAAGGATGTTGATATGTTAAAGACTAAGCTGGATCTCACACGTGACATCGACATTGATGTCATCGCTGTTAATGTCAAACGAGGTTGGTGGCGACGGTATGATGCTGGGGACGATGGCGACTGGAGCGTTGCCAAACTTGAGGCATGGATTGATGCTATTCGTATGGGTGAAGGGACCAAAAGGAAGCTGCCAGAGGGTATTGTACCTGATGAGGAGGAAAAGGGAGGGCCTGAGGAGGGAGCTGAGAAAGAACAGAAGAAAGAATCTAGAGAGGAGCCAGAGCAGAAACCTGTTAAGGAAGAGCACACTGGCCACAGTGAGCTGTGATATAATCTTAAACATTGCATCACAGAGTTGTGTACCTTTGTTCATCCAACTCTTTTTTTGTGTCGCCTTTTTTGACTGTTCCCATATTACCCAACTCACCCTTGTTCTTTTTCAAATGTTTGATTAGTTGAGACTTATCCTTTGCTGCACCCTTTTTTATTCCCTATCTTGTTTGTATTCAGTTCTCCACCTTACCATTAGCAAGTATTCTCTGCAGCCAATTGATGAGCTCTTGCAGCATATTCTCTATCACGGCATTTACTGTCATTTAAAACATCTCTCAGAACGTTGTTGCAAAAGTGGAGACAGCTAGCTGGTGGAAAGGTTAAAAGAAAAGTTTACATTTAATAGTAAACCATCATAAGAAGATCTAGCGACGGGGATTCGAGAAGAGCACTGTTGTGTGGTGACGAAATTTTTGTTAAACCAAGATGAAGGATCATCCTACGTGAGAAAGATGCTAACTATATGCATTAATACATGTCGACAATAAGTGAACAATGGAAGAAAAAGGCATAAAATCGCGTCTCTCATTTTTCCCCAATCCGAACAAAAGAAATTCCGCCGTTTCGCAAAAATAATATATATATGTATGTATATCTAAATTTGCAATTGGGAACTTGGCCAAAAAGCAGGAAGGAAAAAGGGGAAAGAGGTAGAAGAAATCCCATATCTTTCATCTCACTTCTTCCTACCCTCCGTGCCCTTCTTGATCTTCTTCTCCCTTCTATTTTCGATTTCCCGATCGTAAATCTCTCTAGCCGACTCACCAGCCTTGCGCTTCACGGGCTTCGATGACTTGACGCTCACTGTGGGGACATTACCGTTTTTGCTGAACGAGGAGCGTACTTGCTTCTCTGCGTCTTCCCAGGCGGCGGCTCCGTTTGCAATTTCGTACCTGGATCATTTGAAAAGAAAAGCGAGTTAGACATATATGGTTCACACTAACAGGATAGGATACGTTGATTTTGAGACAGAAAAGCGAGAACGCGGCTAGAGGGGGGGGGGGGGGGGGGGATTGTTTTCTTGTTATGGGGAAGATGATAGGAAAGAAACATAGTTGCAACTTACTGGTCGAGTGGTAATGCGTCGATGAGGGCCCGTTGCTTTTCCTTCAGTTCCCTGTTGACCTCTTGTCCACCTTCCCTTAGCTCCTCTTCAAGCCCGACATCCAACGGTCGGAATCGATCATCGATAACCTCATCATCGTGCACTCCAGTGGCATCATTAGGAGAAACGCCAACCTTTGCAACGGGTAATGTCTCAACCACAGCACATTCAACGAGAGTCCTAAAATGGGCAGAGACTTTTCGTGCAATCTTGATAAACATGGCCATCAGCTGTGAAGCGGCTAGTGTAAGTTCCTTCTCGGCATCGTCAAAGGATTTTCGCTGCAAACCAATAGCTAGCAGAATCGACTGTTGTATTCCGGATAGATTCACGCCAAGGCATCCGGAGAAATAGAAGCCTGCGATCGTGGGCACCATGTCGAGGATAACATGGTAATCGAGGAGATTATTTGCGTAGCTATCCAGGCGCTTTAGATCAAAGGGGGAAAACGCTTTGTCCAAGTCTGCTTTTGTTAGAGTGGAGGGTTTGAAGGATGGGTCGGACTTTGAAACAGCGTTGGCAGATTCACTGATGCTGAGTGATAATATGGATGGGAAATCGCGGAATTGGTATGATAATAGGGAAAGGAAACGTTTGTGGAAGTCCCGTGCATAAGCTCCAAGCCAGCTTGTGTCGTTACTCCCTGTTGCTAGAGTGCGGAGCATGACACAAGAATGCTCACCAGTCAGTTCGTTGGGGGTTTGTCGCAGATACACTGGAATAAAGCGGGATCGTTTCCAAAACTTTAGAAGCGGGGGGGTGAGACCATAGCTAACACCGAGATAGTCGAGAGCATCGGGACGCCGTTCATTAAGCCTCGCAAAGAGAGGTGGCATAGAATGTATATCTCGAATACGAATATTATCATCCAGGAGGCTTGAATTTGCCAGTTCTTCGTCTGTTACTCTAACCAATTCGTCGGATGGATAATTATCTTCCTCCGACAGGTTCGCAAACTTGCCTTCGAAGAAATCGGTAAGGAGCTCGAGGGCACGCGAGCCGTATCCCATGCCCAGATAATCTGGATTCGTGGCTATTCGCACAATTCTCGCTCCTGAAAGTCCCGCAAACTCCTCGTCTTGAAACTGCTGACTGACAAGCCAGGGTATTAAGTCTCCCCCAGCGCGTTGTCCACGGCTAAGACCATGCAAAACGCTCTCCTTGCTTATCCGACCTTCCAAAGCCACCTGGATGACACAAAGTGGCTCTGGAACTTTGTTAGGATCAGTTGGCGGTACCAGAACGAATAGCTGATGCGCTGGCGCGTCGCTCATGAGTTGAAGGTCATTTGGCGAATTTTTATAATGGCTCGCGACGTACAGGGCCATCATCTGCTGCAAAAGCTTTTCGGGAAGCGGATGGAACGAGAACAAAACATCACGGTTAACGTGAAGAAGCTCGCACTGAGATGGGTGAGGGCATCCTTGAGTATTCACTTTGGACTTAGGGAGGGTAGCATCAAGGCAGAGGAGTTTATTCAACCACTTTTCTACGAAATCCCCAGGGGCATATCGGATCGGTTCCGAAAGAGTAATTTCCCGCAGTGACCGGCCTCCCGAGAAAAAATTTTCTCCATGTTTTGCAGACTTTCCCGCCGCCCTGTCAACGATGTCGGTATCATCTGCACTCTTAGCACCGCCTCTCGATTGCTCTCGAAGCTGTTGGATTAATTTCAAAGATAGGGATCTGCCTGTGCCTTCATATCCGTTGATGGTGGAGGCCATAAATACCAAATACGGACCCATTAACTTTCGCACCATGGGTAAAGGGATGGCAGCTGCCTCATCAATTACCAAAAGTTCCGCTTGTCCCAGTGCATAAGCATCTTGGGGCTGGATATATTGGATTGTTTGTCTGTGTTGCCGGTGGACATTAACCCGCACGATGGCTTTGTTGAAATCCGGGTTCGTAGATTGCAGGATTGTATAATCGACATGATCCATATATCCCAGTGCATCAAAACCCTTGAAGACAAATTCAAACAAAGTTTTCAAATTCTCCGGGCTAGGAGAGGTAATGAATATATTGCTATAACCATATGCGATGGCCGCGGCAATGGCAACACCAAGTGCAGCAGATTTTCCGCGGCCACGAGCAGCAGTCAGGGCGACAGTGCTCCGCAGAGTCTTTTCTGCTATGGCGTCAACAAATGTGAGAAGAGCTTTCGCCTGGTCTACCGTCTTCGCTAGAGTAACCAACGACCCAATAGGTTGTGTATCTGCCAACTTATCCTTAATCTCCTTTAGTTCCTTTTTTGTCGAGTCAGTGGACTCATTGCCAGGCTCAGCTGGGGGTAACGGCTCAACGTATTTGCCACCAGAAATTGGTAGAACATTAAGCTCATCATCTATTACCAAGCAAGATTTGCAGCTGCCAAGTGAAAGGATAAAGCGCTCATTAAAACGTGCCACCACGTCACCGTGGGCCTCCGTCCGGTATCTGGAATGGACATCCATTGATAGAGTGTACAGCTGTTTTAAGCTCTTCATTCCCTTCAACAGCAGTATGACAAGTCCCCCACCTTCAACGGTTTCAATAGTCTTCGCCAGTAGGTTTGGTGTAAGCGCTTCAAAGTCCTGCAGTACACACATTCCATATGTGTTTCCCAAAATTTTGTCTGTTTCCTTGTAGTACACATAGCGAATTTGCTGAAGGGTTACAAACAACTCGAAAGGGTCCTCAGTGTTTGGATCTCGAATTCCTCTTTTGATTTCTTTCTTGATCTTTGCCTCGCGCTTCTTCCGGTGGCTAGTAAACCCAAGCAGATCCTTCTTGTAAGCCCATAGCACCGACTTATTCTGTTTGACGTCGACGCTTGACATTATATGATGGAGATGGACGATAACATCTTTCGCACGGTCACCAACGACTACGAAGAAGCTTCTTTTCTTCTCTTGTATGCCATTTCGAATCAAGGAGGTGATCCTGGAATCGATTGCTTTCCGTGGCATGGCTTTGAGGGAACGAACGCGAGAACGCGGGTGCCGGGAGACAAGGAGGGCGCTTGGTCAAAGTTCATGAACGCATTGGTGCAATTGCTGGGTTTCTATGATATGAATCTGGTTCCAGGCATTCACATGAGTTTTGGTAGCGGGCCATCAAAAATATAATTTGACGCTCACTCCTCTGCACTTACAAAAAAAAATATTGAGGTAACTTTGCCGGATAAAATTCCTCCTTGTCAAGCTACCCATAAAAGGTAATTTATGCCGGTGTCAGGACATCACATGACTAACCCTAATTCAAGGTTCTTCACAGCATTTCTCTTGGAGTGCACTACATAGCAGTCCACAATGGCTTCCGAAGCTTTGGCACATACCCTGAGACTAGTGTTATGCACATACTATCTATCTAGAGATCCTATTATACATAAAGTTACAAAATCAAATCAATCAATCAAATCAAATCCATTATATCAATGAATCTATCATTCTATTCTTCATATCAATCTGCCCTTCTGTACCGTAGGCCCCTGCTGATGGGCGCTGCTTACTAGTAGTGGCGGCAGTTAGTGAGGAAGACAAGAGTATTCTTGACAGTGCATCTCATCCTGGTCATCTCGTGGTGGTTCTGATGATGATATTTATAGTGATTCTCACAGACATTATGGTGGTTCTTGGAGAGGTTCTTGCGGTAGATGAAGGAAATAGCAATGGCAGCGACAGCAGCGGCAGCGGCAGTGACTTACATACTAGTGGTCAGTAGATTCATCAAATCATACCTTTGCTTGACAATATCCTTTCAATCCCATATTGATACAGAATCAGCGTTTCCACTCAGTTTTTGTATGAGCCTTTTCATCATTTGGTCCTGCTTTTCCATGTGTTCCATCATCATTCTCATCAAGATGTAGATACTAGTATCATTCATTTGATCTGATTCACCTCTAGATTCAGAGATAGACATTTCTTGCCTATATTCATATCCATTTTCTATATCTCAGGTTCTTGTTGAATCATTCTCCCCCACTTCAATCAATCTTTCGTACTCTTTCTCCCACAATCGAGACTCTCTTGACCTCTCATCAGAATCCTTCTGCTGGCCGGTGTTGCATCCCACAAGATATTTAATACCTCGCAGTAGAGGAGCAGAAGATTTTAATTCCGTCCAACGGCGAACGGGTTAAGGCCTGGAGTCCAAGCGATTGCATGAGCCATGTAGGTCCGCGATACACTAGTCCGCAATAGGAAGTCTAGCGGTGTCAACTACCTCCTATTGCGGACGGGCATATTCTGATATTCTCATCATTCGGCCGTAACATCCTGGACTCGTGCCGAATGAAAAACAGCCGAGGCCAACATGAAGGGTGTGTGGTGTTGCATGCGGTGACTTCTGTCTAAGAAAATGATCCATGTATTGCACGGCGAGCCTGCGCCTGTGCACGAATTGGCAGGGGAAGCTAACTTGTGTGCTTCTTCAGCGCTGATATTTTCAGGGGGTAGTCTGATGTGTGGTCCAATTTTCTCAGACAAGATGGATCATCCATTCGTTCCAGAGGCTCCACCCAGATTCCAATCGGGCAATTTTTGTTGCCCTGCCACCCATTCATAGGCAGTATACGACCACCGCAGTCTGAGGGAGCACTATTTTGAGAGTCTTGATATTTCAAAGCTATCTGGAAAACCGACCCGCAAGAATAATGCTTGAGAAGTTCTCTACTCACTGCTGCTAGCATCATCTAAGTGTTATAAATCGCATCCATTCCAACTGTGCATCGTTCCATTATGGAAAAGTTTGTATCAAAACGGACCGCTTGGCGGATTTTCAGCTATGGGGTTATTAAACTTCAAGCTGGTTTAAGTTCGGGTCTCCGCCTAACCATCGCTTGGAACCCATCCTAAAAAGTATCTAGCCCGAGAATTTCGAATTCGCCCTTGAGCCTACATGGATACAGCTGCTGCATCCGTAATAATATTATGGTCTCAAGGGTTTGATTTACCCCAGTCTCCAGTTTTTATCCCCCTACCATGGCCGTGCACCCGCTTCATGTGCTTGGATAACTACAGCGTACGGGAACCAAGTAAAAGAATGGAAAAAAGATTCTAAGGAACCCGGCCAATTTCGCCATTTCATCGAGACAAACCTACCAGCTGCACATCTGCGCGCTCCGCCCACGAGACGAACAAAGGAATGGACGTCATCTTGAGCGAGACGGTCAGATATACAGCATCAACGTACGGCTCCTGGTTACTAAAGAGAAGAAAAGTGCGCAAAGTTCTAACATCGCGGTAGTGTATTTGCCCTAAGCGTCTCATTCTTGAAGCTCTCTGCGGACCTCTTCTTGGGTTTTGGTACGTGCTCTCCCTTGTTCCATTTCGATCACTGTTGGATCTCCAATTGCAATTGGTAAATGCTGAAGATTAAAGGATGACCATAACCAGATCGTCCTGCGCATACTATTATAATAGCTTTCGGATTATCCGGCCTCTTCCTCATAATATTCGGTCTTTGTACCACTTCTTCCTCTCTAGATCTCGATGTTGACGAGCACGATGATTCGATACAGCTTTCAGACTCCCTCCTGTATTCCCCATCGGATATCTCCCATAAAGCTCTAGAAAAGCTGCGCAAACTCACATGCGCACAAACACGGAGAGTATCGCTTATAATTCGTTTGGCGATATGTGCGTTGGCTTTACGCATCGAAGTGTTACGTCGCACCCTACAGAATTCAGAATGCATGAGATCGGCCTCTTTTGTAAGCTACGATGCCGATTTCATTGCTCAACCCCCTTCCCCCCCCCCCCCCCCACACACACATATCCCGTGTTAATAATAGTGTCTTCACTGGTTGTAGGCCTGCATTCCTCTTTTGCTTTCGATACACGTTTATTATATCAACAGACGAGCCAATATTATTAATAACGCCCAAGGCTCCGATTACACTGCAAAACGGTCGTTGGCATCTATATTTCCGGTTCTATTATTAATCCCTTCAGCCTTCCTCACTTCCTCCCTCAGCAATGGCTGGAAATCCACCTACATCTGTCCTTTGACCGGGGCCACTGCGCTGTTCACGACATCATTGCAAATTCTCGGTTTAGCATTGGACACTTTTACTCTTATTGCGTTTGGAGAACTAGGCCGTCAGTGCACTCGTCGTAGTGATGGACGGAGGGTACAAACTGCTGTCCTCTGGGGCTTCGTGCTGATTGTAAGCATACACTGCTGGGGATTGTATTGTACGTGCACAAAATGCCGTAATCTAACTTTTTGTTCGATGGATTAGGGTGTATCAGCAGTATGGCTGCTTGTTGCATTTCTGATATATTTTTTCCTGCCTCAACACAGGCATGAGTTGCTCTCGTTCTCGTCCCTTTACCTTGGCAGTGTTATAAAACTGTCTCTCATTTTTGCCTGTGCCTTTGTTTCGGCTTCTTGTCTTGTGAGTTCGTTTTCAAAAACATTCTATGTGTAACGAGCATCCTTGCTAACTTAGGGCCCAAGGTAACTCACATTGGAATTTCGGGAATATCTTTCCTTTTCTCATTCATATTTATTTTCACTACACAGATATCCGATCTGTGGAGTTCTCGGCGAGCCTTCCCTAGTATTCCAGTATTTGCTGCCGGATTTTCTATCATTTTATTGCATGTTTCGGGGTATTGGTACTTGCGTTCCAGTACAGCCACAGACCATGATAGAAAAAACCGTTCGCTTCCTCGAGTGTGGATACGATTGGTATTTTTAGCTTTTCTCGGTTTATCGTTCGGACTACTCATATCAGGGAAGAAAGAAACTGCACACCATCCGATTGACATTCTTATGTCTCGTGCTAAAACAAATTTTGACCAGTGGGCAGCCAAAGCAAAATCGAGCCAAAATCTTCAGGATGCTGTAGCTGAATATCAGCGACGATACAAGCACCCCCCACCGCCGTACGCTACTTGGCCTTGTCTTCTATTATGATATCTTGAATTCTCTACTAACTTGAATCATAGGGGTTTTGATCTATGGTATAAGTATGCCACTGAAAGGTCTTCCGTAGTGATTGATGATTACGACCAAATCTACGAAGACCTTCTCCCTTTCCGCGCATTAAGCCCCCGAACTCTACGTGAGTTAACTTATGCCTTGGCAGCCGATCATTCAAATGATGTGGCTACCGTGAGCATTCGTGGCGGAACTACGCAAATACAAGAAGATATTCTACCCACACACAGATGGATGATCGAAGGGGTGGCGAAAATGATTGGGGCAGTCTCTCAACACCTGCCTGACATGGACATAGCTTTCAATTTGAATGACGAATGTCGAGTCGCTGTTCCCTGGGGAGATATCACTGCTCTCCACAATTCTGCAAAAAGTCACATCCACCGAAGTACTGGTAATTTTACTGGTTCCTGGTCCGAGAATCGTGCCTCAACTTGGGAACCCAGCGAATCGGCAAAGGGGGCTCATGGTCTTTTTACAGACACCTCTTTCCAGCAGGTATACGATCTCGTTGGACGCTCTGTCTGCCCTCCTTCATCGAAAGCGGGGACGTCGTTCGTGTGGGACAGGCGAAAAATTTGCTTGGACTGCGCCAGCCCACATTCCCTTGAGCAGTTCTTAAGTAGCTGGACTCTAGCGTCTGATATTTGCCACCAGCCCGACCTGGCCTCCCTGAGCGGTTTTTATCTATCCCCATCTGCTTTTAAAGTGTCCCGACCACTCTTACCAGTGTTCAGCCAGAGTAAAATATCCGGATTTAACGACATACTCTACCCAAGCTCGTGGAATTATGTAGACAAAGTCATATATGAACCCACAGAGGAACACCCAGATGTGCGTTACTCTGAAAAGCAACCCACTCTTTTCTGGCGCGGTACCACATCTGAAGGATACAGCTCTGCTGGCCAATGGAAAGGCATGGCACGCCAACGCATGGTCCACCTTGCCAACAACCACACCTCAAACACAGTCTCAATTCTCCTCCCTTCCTCCTCCTCCTCTTCCTCCAAAAGGCACCCAACCTTCTACAAATATACCAACATCCTCGCGTCCAAGATTCCCGCAACCCTTGATCTACCAACTTCCATCTTCTTCGCAGGCCAAATAACCCGGTGCAGCTTACCGGACTGCAATTTCCAAATGGCAGAATTCGGCCTGGGTCCTTCAACTGACTTCCAAGAACATTGGAAATATCGGTTTCTAATGGATGCCGACGGGGCCGGGTTCAGTGGTCGTTTCCTCCCCTTCTTGCAAAGTAGGGCCCTCCCATTTCGCACGGGACTGTTTCGCCAATGGCTAGATAGCCGGCTTACAGTGTGGTACCATTTTGTGCCTATCGATATTAGGCTGCATGGGCTGTGGAGCACCCTGGCGTACTTCTCTGGAGCAAGGCAGGTTGGGGATTCCGCCACTCCTTGGCCGAGTCCAAATACGAATAGGGACAATAGGAAAAATGGTGATGGCCAAAGCAATAAACATGGAGACGCGAAACAAAAGCCACCCAGGAGGATGATGATGATGGGGAAGAAGAAGAGGGAAAATAAAAATGAAATACCCAATAGTAGCGATACTATAGCAGCCAGCAACAGCAACACTAACCAGAAGATCCTGATGGAACCGCATACACGAGAAGGAGAGTTTATAGCCGAAGAGGGTCGGAAGTGGGCTGAGAAGGCGCTTCGAAAGGAAGATATGGAGATTTACATGTTTCGGTTGCTCCTGGAGTGGGCTCGCTTGACAGATGACAAGAGGGACCAGTTGGGATTTCAGGTAGGATGATGATGACGACGACGATGATGATGATGCTGCTGCTGCTGCTGCTGCTGCTGATGATGATGATGGTGATGACGTTCAAGCAGCTGGCATTTATATATAGACTTCTTTTTTCTTTTGTATGCTAACCCATCCTTACTATTTTTGTTGGGGGCATGGGGAGGCAGTGGATTGCGCCAAACCAACTTTATCGCCGGCGCGAGAAGGTAGGACTTCTGCCTTAAGGGAGTGTGTGCATATGGCGCGTGGTCTGGGATAGATTGAAGTTGTTTATGTATGTACTGTACATATCTCTGAAGCATACAAGCAAGATATTTTCAAGATATTTAATAGATAGATCCAATATGGAAATTTTCACATTGCAAATACACAAAATAGGGATTTGAGTTTCTGTAATATATGAAGACATACCAATCATAGTGTATATAGTTGAATGAGAGCGGGAGGTAGTTGATAGCGAGGATCAAAAGAGGAAGTACAGTTATTAAAATGGATTATCTTGAGAGTTACAAATTAGAATACTTAAGAACAGGAGAGAAAAAATGGGGGCGACAGGGTTTCTATGCAGCTTGCATGTCAAAAATTGTATCCATAGCTTGTTTTGTACTATATGTAAGCCATCTGGATAGTCAACAAAAATAGAAAGGAACCGCAAGATAAAAGGACCGCTTTGTGTATCACTATCCTTGCTTGATATTCTGTTTCAGATTGCCCCTATAAACATTGGAGGGGATATACAAATCGTGGTACCCAAGCAAATAAAGAGCTGTAATCCTTTCATTTCTATTTCACTCTAAGAAACATTTACTCAAACAGGTAGGAGAAAAAAGGAATATAATTAATATAACAAAAAGCATTATCAACACATTAATAACCGTCCCTGAAACAAAACAGGTCAAAGCAGTTCCCTGGCCTTCGTCCAGGACAGGAGGAACAACAGAAAAGGAGAAAAAAGATCACAGAATAAAAATCAAACGGAGCCATTACCAGAAAAATGGGGAGGAAGTACATAGCTCGGTTTGTTTACCAATCAATGATGTGTTCCAGCAATGTGTTTTTTGATGTGCTGTCGTCGCTTCAGCGGGACATCTTGATCATTTGTGGGATACCCGATTGGCTCTGTGGGATACCCGATTGGCTCTGTGGGATACCCGACTGGCGCTGTGGGATACTCAGATGGCTCAATCGGGTTTTCAGTAGGCTCCGTCTCATACTCGGCTGATTCTGTTGGAATGGGAATTATCGCTTCATTGTAGCCTGTTGGGGTCACCACAACCGCGATTGTCGTTTTAGTCGTATAGGTTATGCAGCTCTCCGTTGGTGGTGGTGTGCAGGATGCGATGTCGGTTGGCTCCACAGAGGCGCTTCCGGTAGGATACTCGTTAGTCGCGGAGGCAGAGGGCGAAGAATCAGTGTTAGTAGCACCAGTGTCAGCGGGCTGCGTGGAGGTAGTGGTAGTGGTGGAGGTAGTGGTAGTGGTAGTGGTAGGCTCGGTTGAATCCGTCTGCGATGCTGTGGTTGAAGTGGTAGTAGTCGTTGAATCGCCTGGGTAGTCGACAACCTCGTCCTGGAAAACTTTCATGTAGTTGATGGACCAGTAGGCTTCGCTGAACGCGGAAGGGTTGTTCTGGACGTAGGCTTCGCAGGAGTCAGCTTTCGCAGCGCATTCGGCATCTTGGCTCCAGGTATTTTTGGCCCAGTCACCACAAAAGGCGGTATTGATGATCTGCAGACAGGAAATAGCATTTGGTTAGTTCGGGGCTAAAAAAAGGATTCTGAAAGGACAGATGGCTGTTTAGAAACACGTACAATACGCTGTTCTTGGAAGAATTTGTCAAATTCGCATCCCGTGAAATGCGCGATTGGCCTAGCCCAGGAGGACGGATCCGGGTGTTCACTATTGATATCCGAGGGAATTCGGTAGCGGGGGAAGAACCAGACGCTGATGGAATCGGTAGTCCACTCAGCCGCATATATACCTCCTCCAATACTGTTGAACGAATTTCCGTAACTCATGGAGCTAGGGGCCCTGAATAAACATCCTTGGTTGCCCGGCTGAGTTGGAGAGTTGATATCACAGTCTTTGGTGACGAGTTCTCCGCTATAATTGGAATTGTCCTCTACTTTGCATCCTGCCGTGGTGTGCAATGCAACCACATTCTTTGTTTGTGAATTAACGCCTTCGATTATATCTAATTCGCCATCTTCCGGCCATGTAGCCCCGGTTGACCACCTGTTAGGGTGTTTAGATATGGAGGGCTAGAATTTTGCGAGGCCGATGGGTATCGACAAGATGGAAAGGGCTAGGACTTACAGCGCAGGCCAGGTTCCACAGATCCCACCAGGCATGTGGGAGATATCGACCACAATCAGACCATGTTTATAAGTTTTCTTGGTCTCCAGACGGACGCTCTCACGGCCAAGTCCCTTTGCAACATTCTTAGAGTCAACCCCCAGATAGACGAAGTCGTTTTCGTTTGAAGCAAGCCCATTGTTCACTGCGTTAGATTTGTCGAGGTAAGTAACATAGCCGTTACTTGGGTCAGGCCCCTGTGAGGCAGTTAGTTGAGAACACCAAGCGTCGGGCTACAAGAAGGGAGGAGAGAGATTTACGTTGAAGAAATTAAAGTTGTCGAAGAAGTTCGAGGGTTGATAATCGTCTTTGAGTACGTAGGTGCCAGCACTCAGCTTGGCCAAAGTAGCCAGCAAAGTGAGCTTGGTGGTCCTCATATTGTTGTGTTGCGGTTGGAACAAATGATGTTAACACTGGTATTCACATGGAAAGGAAAGGTCCATATGCCGTTGACAGAGTGAAGAGACGCAACCTCCTCAAAGGAAAAGAGCGGATATCCCAATTAGGATTGGTGAAAGAATGGAATAGTTGCAATGCCTGCAACTGTGTCTACCCAGAAGGAGTGTGTATATTTGACTGAAAGAAAAAAACTAGCAATGAAAGAAAAACCGCAATGAAGGGAAGGGTCAAGCATTCCACCATGACAAATTTCCGGGGCCATCTTCGGTTATAAGAGCAGCTTGGCCCTGACAACAAACAGCCAACGTTCCTGAATTAGTTCATGAAGCGGCGCCAGTGGAAAGCATGTAGGGGTAAGTTTCCAGCGGTTGGGTGAGTTATTCCAACTACCGCAGAGTAGCGTAAGACATCGAAAGCCATGTCAAGAGCCACAGCCCTTCAGCTCTTGGGAGCGAAGGCAAAAGGGTAACTTAAAGAGATCCGTATCGTTCTCTGTACGAACCCACTGAGGGCTGGGCAACTCACCCAGGCGGGGCCTCAATCTAAAATTCTTCCAGCAATCGGAGTAGTGGATCATACCATGTTGAAATAAGCTGAAACAGAATCAAAAGGAATTCGCGCAACTGGATATCGAATGAAACAAAGATCAGATCACAAAACTGCACAGCCATGTTCTCCGTGGAACAAGTTGCTGCTTACTTCAACCCAACTGCCCACTTCTCTCTCGAAGTCATGAAGAAAGAATTCAAGCGCCGGTGGAAATGCAGACGTGCTTGGCGGGTTAGGCATGGGAAGATGATTCAGGAACGGGGCCAATCAGTGGAGGATGGCCCCTGGCAGACGACGCCATTCCTCTCGCCCCTCCTCTCGCTCCAGGCGCCCAGGCTAGCGGGGATCCTGGAACGCCAGCTGTCACGGAGATGCAGGAGCCTGAAGAAATAATACCGTCACGACCAGGATCAATTCGCCGAATATATTACTCTATACGCAGTGGGTTTTCCGCTACGAGTGGCATCGAGAGGACGAATTAAAGTTGAGGCTCCCATCTGTAGGGTTGGCCGTTGTCACGTGGCCTGACACCTGGATGCCGGAGATTTGCTCCGAGGCTTGGACAGAAGGTCTAGAACTGGGGCCGAGGGACAAGCAAATCCACGCCAAAACTCCAGCATCATACTATTTGATTACTCGACACGCAATAGCGCCTCCTTCCATAATTTTCAGAGAATTCCAAGCAATCGACTTTCACCAGGCAAAATCGTTCCTCAGCGGGGTTCCCTCTTAGAAATCTACGGGGGGGGGGGGGGGGGGGGAAGGTGACATCCGGTTCAGTGAGTCTCCAGCCCTAAGCCCCTGCTTCGGCATCCAACGGGAACAAAGAGCACTCACTACCACCAGATACGCTCAGTAGAATAATCACAATAATTCATTGGCAACTTTGCGAGTCAAGAAGCAAGCAAAACTCACACCAACAGCTCTGCGGCGTAACCGTCGCCCAAAAACCCCTAGTTTCCCGCCTCATCGAAAAGTTTATGGCTAAAAACCATAAGAAAATTCTTGAAGCGAAAGCGCCACCGAACCTTTGGCGATATGGCTTGAGGCGCAATGGTTCAATAGCACTTCAAGCTTGTTCCTCGTGTGATGTATGGATATAACTGGCTCGTTGACATTTGGGACTATAACCCCCTGATTGGATGCTGTGCAGAGATCAATCCACTTCGACAACCTCTCCCCCATGTGCGAGAATCTGCAGGTCCGGATTCCTGGCCATCAAGAGACCAATGCAGACTGTTTATTTTACTTTTTTTTTTTTTTTTCAAATAATGAAAATAATGTAGCATTATCTATTTCAGTCATCAAAATAATGGCTCCAACTAAGAAAAGTGCGATGCAAGCCACCACGCACATAGCATGAATACATGGAGAGCCAGATATATGCAGCGCCACACAACAACGACATTCATGTATATGTATGTAGTTGAGCCAGAAGTCATTTCATACAAAGGGTAGGGGAGTTCTTCTAGTAAATAGTGGTAACTCGTAATGGGACCATGACTCACCAAACAATAGTCACGAAAAAGGGATAGGATGGAGAAACAGATCTGTGAGATTTTGAGAAAGAAAAAAAAAAATTGCGGAATTGTTGGTTTGTGGAAATGGGTCGGAATTAACACGGAGGAGTGGCTGAACTCAAAGGACAAACAAGGTAGGTCACGACTGACAAACAGGATGGACAACAGGCAAGGAGAAACTGTTCCTCTCATTTTGGTGCTCTGCAGATCAAACAAGCCAAATCCAACCCATCAGCATGATGACTGGGTGCGGATTGACCACGGATGCCCCGTTTCTCTGCCTCTTTCACCAGACACGTTCGGTGATAGAGATGTCGGCAACCAAACACTACCAAGGGTCCAGTATCCTGCCCAGGATCCTCCTGTAATCGATCTGCATGTTGTCCATTACCATCAAACTGCGTCGTCTGGTTGGTATTTTGTCTCGGAGTGTGTGCATTCGCATGGCCTCGCGGCATTGGTTCCTTACCCTTTCCGTATGAATGTAGATTCGTCCTTCCGACAACGTCAAGCCTCCTTGCCTGTCCGCGCTTCGCGTCATCCTCTTGTTTCTTTTGCCATGCTTCCCACAGCCAAGGACCTGATCCGGGACCCCAGACTCGTCGTCGACAAACTTCGCAGACCTGCCCTCGCGGTCTCCACCCTCGTTGACGAAGTTTAGTAATTTCGTCTACATGCACAAAAAGGTCCTTGTCTAGCATTGCATTAGCGAGGGAGAGTAGAGATTCCTCATAAGTGTATGCAGAAAATATTGATGCAATCACAGATCGAAGCTCTGAAAGAGATGGTGAAGCAGCAGCTACTCGCGTGAGAAACGCTCGCAAAATGCGCAAAAATGACATGTCGGACTTTCCACTGGGTCTGTCACCGGATTTTGTGGTGCTTGTCAACAGAGCAGTGAACACCTGTTGAACAAGTACCCGGAAGAATGAGGAAATCTCGCCAGGTCTAGTGTCATAGGCCTTAAGATTCGGGGTATCTCGTGCGATGTCGGACGAACTTTCCCTCAGCAAAGGAGACATATTACGAGCTATGCGGACTACCATTTCAATAAGATCGAGCCAAAGATTCTCCTCGAACGATAGCTCTAGCTTGAGAGTTGCCGCACCCGTTTTATTCGATTTGCCGCCACCCTGAGATTGTCTAGACGCATTCGACTGCTGTTGACAGAGCCATATTCCAACACGAGTATATTTATCCAAGGACTGGACAAGATCAACGACCGCTTCTGCCATGCTTGCTGAATCAGGGCTTTCATTTGCGTTCTGCAATAACCCTGACAGGCCAGCCTCGAGGGTTCCAAGGTGTTTGATCAGCCGGTCCATTGCAGCACGTATTTCCCCTTGACGCGCCAGAAGGATTATTGCTGCATCGATAACCCCGCTACTTTCCATCGAAGGAAGTACGGCATCAAGTTTGAGATCTCCAACCTTCAGGATATCCACAAAAGCCTTGACATGAGAAGGGTTGTATTGACACATTAACTGAACATAGCACTCAACAAGTTGAGCTCCAAATTTTGTCGAAAGCTCAGCCTCACCCGGCCTTTTCCATTCCGGCTCGAATAAAGTATTGAGGTATAAATATTGTCTTGAAGAATCATTCTCTAGAACGTGAAGAAACTCTGTATGCAAATCGGAGGCGGTGGCTTGGACGGTGTGAGCAGTTCTCTCCACGTCAATATCCGCGATTTGTGCGGCGTGATCTTTAACCAGAGCATGCACATCATGGCGTTGCTTTTTGCTCAGTTTCGAGCTTGGGCGAAGGCAATCACGGATGCAGTCGAAAATTGACCGCTGATCTTCTGGATCTTCAAGATAAGTCAACAAAAGATCGGGAAATTGTTTCTCTGTTTTATAAATAGATTTCAAGACTCGATAAAACTTCGCTTGTTTTAGCAAGGGAATTAAAGCCTGGATATCGGGCGGGCGATATATTGACAAAAGGTATTCTACGCTGAGCTGGCAGTCGCCTATCATTTCCGGATTAGGATAGCGACATAATCTCATTAGTATTTGTTGCAGCGTTGATCCCGATAGGAGGATATATTGAGGGTATTTGGGCAGATTCCGGGCAATAAACATATCAAGATAGACGGTGTTCTCTGGGCCAAAATTGGAAGATTCCATAATTTCAAGTAAAATACTGATTAAGTATTGGCGGTTAATAGATAGGCCATGGGTAGGAGAATCGCTAGAAGATGGCATTATTGCTCCATTGCTGGCTTGACCAGTGGCGTCGTTTAAGAAACTGTCCTCAAAGGCTTCGTTAAGCATACTCATGAAACTAGGCGTATCGAATTCAAGGATCGTTCGAAGGTCAAGAAAGGAGTCTTGAGAAGCAGCCTTTTTTGAACTTGAAGTCACTGAAATTCCCGAGAAAAGGAAATCGTAAATGGCAGCTTTCGCCTTCGAAGCTTCAAGATCAGGTAAATCTTCTCCAGTGGGGTATATTCTGCCAGTCAACACATACGACAGGTAAGGGAACATCTTCATCGCATTAAAAAGATCCTTTGCTTTGACATCTGCATTTCCATTAACATTAGGAGCCGTATGTTGGTGAATCAAATGGATGAGCTCAACAAGTGGCCCAACATAATCGCCTAACGCACGCGTCCACACATATATGAACGCATCGTATAAATTATGTTGCTTGCACAACGACGTAACTTGATCAATATCAATCGTTGATGTGTCAAGTAGACAAATGATTTCTTCCAGTCGAGTAGCGGTATGGTTCGTTATGTAGTGGGTGATCAATGATTTAACTGCGGTAGGAGGCAAGGTTCGAATACTGCCCTGTACGATGTATGGTTCGAGGGTGTCCAAAATTATACCTTCGGAACCACATTCCTCGTACCAACTATAAACTTCGTTAAATAAAAATTCGTAATCTTGCAGGGCGTCGCAAGCTGCAATGCAGGAATCAGCAAGCTCCTCAAGCTGGCTTGGATTGAGGCGCTCATCAGGCGCTTCTTGATTTCTTCCAAATGCGTATCTGATGGACGCGGAGATCATTTCCAACAACTTCTCTTGTACTAATTGATGGCGCAAATCATCCTCCTCTGGGAGGCCGACGGTGAGTTTTTCAGTATTACCTATATAGTAAGAGGTTGCAAGTCGAATAGCACCAATGAAGTCGCCACCTTCCATAAGAGATAGTAACCTGTCAGCCCAATTTGACAGGCTACCGACTGATATATCATTGACGCCTAGTAGAAATAGTCGTCCCTTATATGCTCTAAAGCTCATGTAAAAAGCATCTGCAATTACTCCATGCATCGATTCATCTTCCTCATCCAGTTGCTCAACGAGAGAATGGAGTTGCTTCGAAAATATATCCACGTGATAGATGTGCTTGTGTATGAGGTCAAAGGAATCAGTCATTCGCAAGGTGTTGTCCTCCAGGATTAGCAGCTGCTGAGTTATTGTCATCACTGCAAGGACGGAACGGCTTATCCACTGTACAGCAACAATCCCTTCTTCCGCTCTCCATCTACTTCGCGGTTTAAATTCGAAGCTGGGGGGTCTATCCTTGTTCGCAGGTTCAGGAGACTTTACTTCCGAAACCTCCAATACTGTAAGCACATTCGACCAACAATAAACCAATTTAGTCTTCGACGCTTCAGAATTTTTCCCTTTCAGTTTTATGGCCGGAAACCAAGCAAGCGCGGCCGTCAGAGTACTGTGGGCAGCAACTTCCTTTGGTCGAGGGGCTTTATACTGAGTTCGAGCAACGGGTGTCGTTGATACAATCACGAGAAGATACGGGGTGAGGAGTGCAACCAAACCTATCGGGTCCGTTGCTTGTGGGACATTGCCTAGAGGCAGAGGAGAAAAGGCCAGGACGGAGCTTGGTTTTCGAAGTCGGCTACCAACCAGTACCGCATCGGGATAACGTCCCAAAATCCGTGTAGTGCGCACAACTCGGCCAACTGCTCCCATACCTCTATTCGCAAGATGTGAAAATGCCATACCGTGGTCATCAGCGGAGACTAACGCAGTGTGTCTTGTGCCCAGGAAACCCATGTGGATAACCGCTACACCTGATATATGACCGTTAGTCCGCTTGTTCTCCAACTGGCCGGCTGATATTGGTGGGATGTGCAGAAATGGGCGCGCGGGTTTCGAAATTTCCCAGGTAAAGATATGGCCACTGCCATGGCCAGCCGCAATTGTAGTGTGATCAGCGGAAATTGCAAGGGAGGTGATAGGACCAGATTCAACAGCTATATTTGATGTCAGTTTCATTGATTTTTTTAAGACGTTAGACGCTGAAGGAAAATACCCTTTGTTCCCGGTCCAATGATAGCATTTAGATTTTGCTGGTAGTCAAACACCATTATAATACCCTTGGCCGTCCCGATGACAATGGCGGTAGAGATCGAGATACACGCAGGTTGGCCGAAGTTCCGCTTGCCCACTTCCGAAAATGCTTGACCAGTGATTTTCCTGAGCTTCGTCCATCGAACTACTTCCCATGGCGCCGCAGGGCTTTCTAGTAAATCTGGGGTGCTGGAAATGACGTGACTAATTGAGGAGTTTCGCGAATGAGGTCCTATTAATGACGGGGACCGTGGTCGTAAGGCGACTGGGAGCGAAATCGAAAGACGAGACTGAAATCTCCGATCGAACGGACGATGATGGCTGGGGCTCAGGTTAGACGGTGAACCACGGAGGCCAAAAGCACTACTTCTCGATGACAAATTTGAATCCTATGGAGGTTAATAGACGGCATGGAGACAGAAGTGCCTCGAGAAGGTCGAGAGCAGCTTACTTGAACCGACGGAGTGTCATCCGGTATTGATCCGAAATCATCCCCGCTCCCAATACCCTTGTTGACCTCACGATTATGTACCGATGGCACCTCGTCGGATTCGCTGCGAAGAGCAGAATCCGACTCCCTCATAGCAGGATCCCGACTGCTGGTCGCCGATAAAGGCTCGTCTGGGAAAGCATCCCGCCCAGGCTCTATTTCATGTTGTTCCCGCTTACCCTCATTATTGGCTTCCCACCCCGGTGTTACAGGGAACTGCTCATGGTCGTTATTCTCCAACTGCGGTTCATCCTCTCGAGCCCCATCCTCACTCCCCTCGGTCATGGAGCTCATGGGTCGGGTTGTGGAAGCACCATCGCATTCCACTTTTTTCAGTCCAGGAATCGTAACAGAGCTTCAAAAGGGAAATAGAATCGTTACAGATTTTCGCCGTTTAATGAGGAGCTTCCGGAAATTTGCACTGCGCAGTTCGACGGGGTTGGTCGGGTGCTAGGCAGTTGCGTATGTAAGGAGGCTGGACTGTGAGCTTTATGGTTCGCGCAGTCTCGTGTAGTAACAGAAACAAAACCAGACTTGCTTTATGATGCAGCTGGTGCCATTCAAAGAAAGTCGAAGCACTCTCCACGCCGACAGGAGGCCAAATCGTTCGACAGGAGGTGGTGGGTGTTCGTTGGCTCGTTATTTACCGCTGAGAAAGCTTCAGTCCACATGTTTTTGCTTTGAGCCAGCATCGAATCATCTATTGTGGCGGACGTAAAGCTTGCGAAAACAGAATTTTCTGCCACCCCCTGAAAAGTAGTAGCAAAACACCGCAAAAATAACCAAAATATCCACGTATCTCTAGAATCATTCAAATATCATCCAATTCATTCAAATACGCACCTTTATCATCAAATACGCACCTTTATCATCAAATCTGCCAATATGCCCCCCCAGCTCAGCGAATTTACCACCAATGAGATCGTACGCCTTCTAAACGATGGTTATATGCCTGCTCAGATTGCGCGGACCATTGAGTGCCATCTGGCCACTGTATATCGAATCCAACGAAATATTCGCTGCTTTGGAACTGCTAGAAGTCCTCGTTCAACATGGGGTGTAAAGCCAAAGATCACACCGGATATCTTGTCAGGTTTGGAGGATTTTTTTGAGGCATATCCAACTGCATATCGCGATGAGGCTGTCTGCTTTGTGAAGGATGAATTTGATGTTGATATCCACCCTCGATCGATATCTAGATTGTTGAAGAAACTGAATTTGACACGGAAAAAGGTGATTAATTATTGCAATTGTCACTTATAGAACCTGCTAATCCGTCAGTTCTATTTGATATAGGTTGAACCCGTGGCCACTCAACGCGACGAAGAACTTCGAGCTGAATGGCGTATTCAAGTTACTCAGTATCAACCTGATCAACTTATATTTTTAGATGAGAGTGCTGCGAATGAACGTACTGCAGATCGACGATATGGATGGTCAAGCAGAGGATTCCCTTGTCGCATTAGAAGGCCCTGTAAACGATCTCGCAGATGGTCAATCTTACCTGCGATAAGTGTCAATGGATATCTTGATTATGATATATATCAGGGGTCCTATAATACAGAGAGGTTCAATGAGTTTGTACGTGTCCGGATACTGCCCAAATGCCAACGAGGTTATCACTACCTAGTGATGGATAATTGCTCTTCTCATCGTTCACAAGCACTGCGAGATCTCTGCAGAGAAGCTGGCATTGGACTTTTATTCTTACCCCCATATTCTCCTGATTATAATCCTATAGAGGAGTCATTTCACGCGTTGAAAGAATGGATTAGAAGATACAGATGTCAGTTAGAGAATCAGTTTGATGGAGATTTTGAAGCCTTCTTGCATCATGCAGTTGAGAACTTCATGGGAGAAGAAGATGCAAGAGGATATTTCAGATCTGCTCATATAGGATAGTATTGTAAAATCTAGAAAGATTCAGATTGCAATTCAATTATGATGATATATAATATCTAAGTTTCAAATTCAGAAGCAGAAGCAGTATGAGGTCTGCTGCCATCACTACAAACAGCAGATAAAGACAATTTAATCTCCTTCAACCGTGACTGCCAGATAGGACTCTTTAACCCATCTCTTATTATCGAGAATATACCCATTCCAATATTCAACTGAACCACCTGCTCATTTGTCATTGTCCGTATATGATCCAGTTCAAATCCTTCATTCTGAATAATGCTCTTTGCAGTTAAAAGAGCTTCTGCTCTTCGAGGTCTCTCTGTCATCAACCAGTTGAAGAACTCATCAATAAACAGATCCGCGTGTTCACCAAACTGAGGGATTGGACTACTTCGAATAGGAGGCAGGTTTGGATTCGACGGCAGATTTGGATTCGACGGCAGGTTTGGATTCGACGGCAGATTTGGATTCGACGGCAGATTTGGATTCGACGGCAGGTTTGGATTCGACGGCAGGTTTGGATTCGACGGCAGGTTTGGATTCGATGGCAAGTTTGAATTCAGTCCTCCCATGCCTCCCATTCCTTCCATCATATATTTCATCACCATCACATTGATTATCTCACTTGGAGACACAATATTAGATGAAGAAGGAGTTGAGGGAGGGAAGATAACTGCTGGCATCTGAGGTGTCTGTATAGAAGGGTTAGAAGCAGAGATAGGTTCGCTTTTTCGTTCCTTCTTCTCCTTTCTATCCATTAATCTTTTTGTCATCTTTCTTGACGGATTTTTAACTGTTGCATGTCCACGTTCAACATCATCTATCCAACTGGCAATCTCACTACTCAGGAGTTGAATATGAGTATCATCAAAAGCCATCCAACAAGTGCCCTGCTCAAAGTTATGACAATTCATCTTTTGACAACGCCAGTGAGCAGTTATCTCACGCCCAATCCGCAAAGAATCGCGCTCATTTGACCGTCGATTTCGAGCCTCCTTCAGCTGCTGGCTAGTGGCCGTGGATCTTGTACGCGTAGGCGGCAGCTTTTCGTCATCGGATATTTCATGAATTCGAGGGGATTTGGCAGGACGATAGAGAGGGGATTTGGCAGGTGGTGAGATTACTTCTTCTTTGACATCTAATGCTCTTTTTGATGCCAATGTCTGGGTTGTTAATTGTGAATCCGACACTCCAATGAAAGCTGCAGGACCGCGTATTACAGAGGTGTTTGAGGATAGAGTTGAGATATCAAGAAGATTAAAAGAGGTGGTAATCTCTAAATATTGATAAAATCAATAAAAATGATCTATCAGTTAAGAAGAGTGATAATCTCTCTCCAATCTGTCTCCTTCTCAAGGGTGATTTTGATTGAAGATCCACGTTTGTTTGATGAGATGACTGCTATACAATTTGCAACTTCTATCTCCTTGCAGTTCTGCTTCATAACATACTCTTCAGCTATTCTTTTTGCAGTATATTGAATACGATAGAAGCTGACAGTCATATCATTTGTTGTGACATTCCGTAACTTGATCTTTATAGGCTCCTTTATCCCATTGATAATCACCCGTTCATACAGCCTGAATGAGATCTCGGGCTCAGGGGTAGGTGTTCGCAGAAATCGAGGATCTTCTGACTGTGTCTCCTCCTCCTCCTCCTCCTCCTCCTCCTTCTCATCATCAGTTGGATTCTTGTCATTATCCGGAACATCCGGAACAGGCGGTTTGGGCAGACGAAGGCGCAGGGTAGTTGGAGTCCTTTTACGAGCTTGCGAGGCAGTAGAACGGTGGGTGTTGCGGGGCATATTGGCAGATTTGATGATAAAGGTGCGTATTTGATGATAAAGGTGCGTATTTGAATGAATTGGATGATATTTGAATGATTCTAGAGATACGTGGATATTTTGGTTATTTTTGCGGTGTTTTGCTACTACTTTTCAGGGGGTGGCAGAAAATTCTGTTTTCGCAAGCTTTACGTCCGCCACAATAAATAGGGTCCATGGCAACCTCATGCGCCAACCTCCGGAGCCTCATCCAACATCACCATCAACAAAACAACGCCCATCACAGCTAATTCCGCTGCTCCATGGAGTCTCCCGCCTCTGGATACACTTACGCACTGGATTATAACTTTACTTGGACTATCAGGGAGGTAGCTGATGCTCGAATTTGAGAGCTGATGTTCGTCTGGTCGAATACCCTTGCTATTTTAACCATATTCCCCGCAAACCTCGCGGCTTGAGGTTAACGCATGCGATCCAATATACTATCCGGGTTCCTTCACAGTTTGTTGATCATATATAGCATGTTGAAAACCCGTGCGTTGTGGTCATTTGGATCCCATACCACTTTGTTCTGTGCATACCCCTCCTGCCAGCTCCCAATCGTACTACTCCAGCAGGCTATCCTATCTAGCATCCTAAGCCCATGATGGCTTTTTTATGATCGCCTTGAAAAAAATCAATCCTGAGAAGATTCTATTGTGTTGAAAATAGATAGCTTGCAAACCAAAAAAAAGAAAAAGAAGAGAAGAGAAGAGAAAAGACGTTATCAGCTCCGTTCATAATGTTAAGCTCACCCTACAGATCAGATATCCGGGGGACAGATTGATGGGCATACAGTACAGTAACCGCTTCGATCGCTCAACGTTGCAGAACAAAAATGGCTCGTCGTCGTGCCGAAGGAACGACACTCCCAGCAGACATCCCTAGCAAGATTCTCTTTCCCTGCCATGACAATTGCTTGCCAATGGACTCCTTCCTAACAATCGCGGACATGCCTATCTATTTCCTCAGAAAACAGTGCTCCATCTTTAACATCCTGCATTGCAGATGCTCGCTGCGTCTATATATGATAGCTATACCCGACAGTCATATTCATCGAGGTCACATTCGTTTTTACCTCCTATATTTACTTCCTATAAACTTCAACTTGCTGAGGTTTCCATCCATAAAAAAAAAGACCTTGCCTATTTATCACACTCACTAAATACGCTCCACCCCATCTTTCTAAAATGCTGATGCTCTTCTGTGTGCTGCTGATGCTCTTTCTACCATTAGCCTTATTCGCCCAGACCGAATGCAATGGACGTGCAGAATATTGCGGCCGTCGCTACTCAGAATTATCGTTCGTCGGGGCTCATAATTCACCGTTTGTGGGATTCCTCCCCCAACACAACCAAGAGATATCTGTGGTCGGCCAATTAAACCTCGGGGTGCGGTATTTACAGGGCCAAACGCACCTGAATGCAAGAGGCAAATTGCGCATGTGTCACACTTCATGCTTTCTGGAAAATGCAGGCGGCCTCGATACATTTCTACGCAAGGTGAAGGGTTGGCTCGATGACAACCCAGACGAAGTGGTCACGCTCCTCATTACAAACGGAGACAGATTGGATATCTCACGATTCGATGAGGCATTCAGGAGCAGCGGCATTGTGCCACATGCCTTCGTTCCGTCGTCATCTCCACATAAGCTTTCCATGGATGAATGGCCGACTTTGCAACAAATGATACAATCTGGTAAACGTCTTGTCGTATTCTTAGGTTGGTATTGGTGAAGTCTCATTTCACGCTTGCTCCTCTAGATAAAGAAATTTCGGTTTCTAATGTGGACGTGTGAAAACAGATTATCTGGCCGATATGAATAGGGTGCCGTATATTCTTGACGAATTCTTATACTACTGGGAAACGCCCTTCGATACCACGGATCCACTCTTTATGCAGTGTAAAATCGATCGCCCACCTAACGTGAACCCGGACGGTAGGATGTATATCGCGAACCACTATCTAGATATAGAAAGAGTTGGCGTGCTGTTTCCTGACCGGCTGTCAGCGCCAAGAACTAACTCTGCGATTGGGAAAGGAAGTATCGGTGCACAAGTCGAGCTATGCACATCGATCCATGGCCGCAAGCCTAACGTCGTCCTTGTTGACTTCCTCAATCAAGGTGATGTGATCGGGGCCCAGGATATGATGAATAGATTTTAGAACACGCTTCTGATCCTTGACTTTGGTTTTTCTATTAGTTTTGCCTACATCGTTAAGCCTCGGGTGGACGAAGTAGTTAACTATTGATATGCATTGCCAATGAATATTTTCAGCTTCAAGATTCCACTGTCACTCGCTCCTCCCCCATTTTTTCGGCTAACAGGAAATATCTGTCTACATTCTTGTCCTGAATATATTGGTAGCATAAAAGAATACACGCTTGTTAGCCACCACCAAAAAAAAAAAAGGCACTGCCGACTCCTATAAAAGTGTGTCCGCTGCTCCTAAAACTTTCAAAATGCTTCAAAGCTTTTGCAGTGAGGAAACCAACATCCAGCCCTGACCACAGTCAGTGAATCTGTCAGTCAATGCTGGACTGGGTATCCTCATCCTTTAAGTTCAGTGGCACAACATCTGACAAACAAAATCATGTGCTCCCTGTTATTGCAAAGCTAGGGTGTACACTTGAATAGGATTCAAAAAGCTGAATGAGGTTCAAAAATTGTACACATCTTTTTTGAACCCTACTGAAGGTTTTCTTCCAGCTGAAAATTTGAACCCCATTCACCTTTCTTGAATCCTGTTCAAGTGTATGCCCGACCTTCCATGCTCCGCAAGGTTGTACTGCAGGTTCATAACAGCTGCGCCTGATCACTAGATAGTTACAATCAACCAGCCTTCCCCCGCCATCAAGCAATAATAAAAAATAATTTACTTCTAAAGATCAGTTGTTATTCAGTAATATTATGATGATCAAGCTATAGGAATGCAATGTCCTTTACTTGATGTGGAGAGAAAGATGCAATCACTACAATGAAGAATTAGACATTCATATGCATAAGTGCATACAACTTCACGACAATGACGAAACCGGCTATTTAACAAGTTCAATACAGGAGTGTATTGTTGAATGTTGTCATTTATATCTAACAGTGGAAGGTCTATTGATTGTAAATAATCAAATAATGATTAGTAGTTTGACTATAAATAATTTTTATAAATCGTTGCTTTAGCCTTTGTCACATGTTTATTGAAAACTTACTGTCAACTTTGCTAGTATGATCACTAGAAGTATGGATGGATTTATCGGAATTTATATTCTGCTGGTAAAAAGGCATTAATACAGTTTCCGCTTTATTTTATAAAATTGCAAGAATATATATTATATTTAATTGCTTCAAAAGTCCCAAAAACATTTCATTACATAGTTATGAGATGTAAACTCTGGCAACGTAGTAAACACTTACTTTGGCTATGATTTGCTGCATCATGACAGTGAAAATTTCAATCATAAAAAACACAAGCTTCATAATAACTATAAGAAATGCTTTTCTTTTTGATTCATGCAGTTATGGTCAACAAGTTTTGAGGTTATATATCAGTTTTTTTTCTTCTATTTTTTTTTTTTTTTTTTTTTTTTTTTTTTTTTTTTACATATGCAGGGGATATTGGACTTTTTGTCCTCAGCATACTTCCGGGATCCGTGCATCCCCCAGGCCCGAACCCATCCGTGCCAGCCAGTTCTTTGCATTTTATATTTAACACCATGCAGGACTCCCTGTATAACCTTGAGTTAACTGAATATAAATTAATTTAAACTCCAATAGTATTCGGTTTTATCATTAAGTATATCTTTAATTCTTTTTCATACTTTGATATTTGTTGGAGTTTAATATAACTTTTGAATTGCAATGAATTCCGAATTTATCTTTACATAATTCAAAATTATATATATATATAGGTGTTACGTAGGGATCATAGAATGGGGAGCCGTGAGGTAGGGCTTGACTACTAGTATCTACTATATATAGCTTTTCTGATAATCCTCCTCGCGCTGCCATCTACCTTACCCTCTCGATCGATGTCACGGCGGCTCCTCGATGGCACGGTGGAGGATCCGGCGACCCGCCCTGCCGACGCCTTCACACAACCCTTCAAAGAGACATCGTTCTCCGGTACTCTGTATATGGCCGATGACGGTCGACGCGCAATAGCGTGGGATGCTTCTACGTGTCTCAGCGCTGTATATATTTAGTAGTAGCTATCAATATTGTACCCCACCAGTAACTTTAATAAAATATAACTATAAACATATAAAGTATTTTTTTAAAAAAGATTCAAAAATGATAACTATAAATTACAAATATTTATTACAAATAAACTGTAAGAGAGGTTGAATTTGGTTGGTTTGTGTTATGCCACAGGGGCAAAAGCCAGCGCCATGCTAGTAGTGGAGGGGACGAACCAATCCAAACCCCTAACAGTTTGTTATCATCTATCTGGTCGCTAGTGGCGGCAGCTAATATATCCGGTGTGTGTGGGCCACGTGGGATAGGGCCTGTGTAGAACCTACAACATAAACCTACAACATAAACAGGCTCGTAGATGTTACAGTGAGTTGGAGCTTACTGCTGATTTAGAAGAAGATCCTTAGAACTCTACGAGGATAAAAACCTTATACTTGCGTAAGGGTGTACGTAACGTGATTCTAACTGATCAATGAGATATCAATTTAGTAGAACGTATGGATACCGACATTGCAAGAATGATCCGCTGGCCCTTAGGATGTTGGGGCGCGCGGCTACTATCTATATATCAAGCAGTATCGATCCAAATATAACATTATGGCGTCATGGAACCAACTCTATGGCCATAACCCTGCACTAGTCTAATTATTGGTTAGTGTAGTGCGGGTTCTTACAGTCGAATCTATAAACTTGACTTAATACATTTGTTGACGTTATTTTGAATCAGACTAAAAAGGTTGAAGCTTATGAGTATATACATATACACACACATATATATTTACCAACAAAAGCATAAGAGAATTAAATCATACAAAAATTACTAGAACGAGACTGATTTAAAATAGAAAACAACGAATAAACACTTAATATTTTACACTTTAAAGGTAATTCATAAATTAAAGTTATTATTTAACATTATTTTAGTTTCATTATGATTACTTATTTTATGAGATTAATTAAAATCACATTGGTACGTAGGCAGGGAAAAATTCCATTCAAATGGCGTATGTGCAGGTGTATATGTATATAATTATAGTTTATATATATAAATATATATATTGCAAAGAATGCCGGTGGTGGTGGCGGGGCGGAGGAATTGGGAATAATTTTCTAGTTGACTCCTAGACAATATCAGGCTCGTAGTTACGCCGCGTAGTCCAATTGGCCCGGATATATAGTAGATCAATGCTCTGCATGACTTGCGAGTTATTTTGTCATCCCGAAGTATTGGTGGATTCATCGGCTAAATAGTATGAGGCTCCAACGCACAGATTCCGTGTTCCCTTTTTGAATTTCTGCAAGTCAAGATGCGGCACCTGTGATCTGCTACCATGCTTGGACATTGGTCAAGATTGCTCTCGAATGAATGTGTCTGTGAAGGAATAAGTTTGCGTCAAAGAAGGACAACCCGATGGAACATTCTCTCATTACACAGATGTAGTGCTGCCTTGCCTTTTTGAAAACCTGGTTCCCGTCAAACCGAGATGTGAAAGTTTCAAACTTAGACACTTTTAAAAAAAATAATTCCATGCGAATTGCCATGTGCCGACAATAGAATTAAGGAATGGCTACATTGATATAGCTTTGTTGGGATAGGGGGTTCGGATTTTAACTAAGAGAGTTTGAACCCCTGCCAGGGTTCCAACTTGGAGCCGTCCATGGACCTCATCTTCAATTGTTAGACGTCACTATGGCTACCCAGCGCACGTGCCAGCCAACCTATGGTGTTGCTCTCGCTTACACTCACACCATCACTTCTCGTCACCTCAAGGAGTGTAGAATATAGGACTATATTGGAGGATTAGGGGTAGATTAAAAACCCCTTCACTTTCCCCCCCCTCTACCATGGTCAGACTAATGACCATGTGTATGTTGTTTTAGTGACACTAAAGTTGAATGGTTGAATGTGGTTCAAAAACACTGAGCGTGGTTCAAAAAATGATGTCTGTTTTGAACCCGGATGCTCGGATCCACAACACTAGGGCCCGAACTCAGCCACTCCGCTCAGAGAGTGCTAGTACACTGACTAAATCTGGATCGGAAATCCACACCGAACTTTATTGTCCAGTTAAATTTTTTGAGATGGAATTAACTTCATCTGTTCAACAGTCCTGTAACATCAATTTCTATATTCATATCTCTCGCTTAGTGATTTATATACTTTTCAAATGGTTGATGTGGAGGCAGTGAGCAATCTGAATAATCACCAGATCTTCATGCCATTGCTAGGTATATTTATTAGACGGATTTTGCAACGCCCCGCACGTGAATGAAAAGTGATTGGAATCGCCTAGTTGTCAAGTACTAATTGGGTTTTAACAACAATCATAATAATTATCAAATTGCACTATCCAGATGTCTTGTAGGGATGAGATTTGGTGTATTCAACAAGCCACTGGGGCATATTTTCATCCATTCAACAAGCTTGATTTGGGGGTGTAGCAGATGCAATGTTGCTGTCAATATGCTCTCTGATAGCTCCAATAATCGATTCGCTGCCGCCGCAGCAACTGCGGGTAAGATGACGATTTTCCATTCTTGATAATGATCTTTGAATAGCAATTGATATTTCTTTCCAGATATAAGATTCAACACTGTGATGTGTAGTGAGGTTAAAACCACTCTTACGCCACCAACCCCACTTTACACAAGCTATGTAGCTTGAAGGGTGGAGATTGGTGGAGTACGCCGTCAAATCCTATATTGTGGGCTTCGTTACTGCACCTTACTGAAAGAGGGAATTATTTTGTGCGAAGAATGTTGCAAAATCAGTCGATTCATTGGTAGATATCATTGATAGATATAGATAGGTATCACATCATCGCCGGATCTTCGTATCGTTGATGATAGCACAAGATGAAATTAGATAGATAAAAAGCTCAATAATAGAAGATTTATGATGGTTGAATGATTTTATGAAGGTTTCAGTTTGTCACGGGTGATAACCTCAACGAGATACCTTATCCATGGATGGATTGATGTCACCATGCGGAATAGTTCTGGCTGGTTAAGCGGCCAGCTAGTGAGACTTGGCAGTGGCTGCACTGATGCAAAATCGAGTCAGAGGTGCCATTGTATATAAAACTAAAACTACTCCGTAGAAGTTTTATAATTCACTGTGTTTCATGTCTTAAACCCGTATCATGATCCAGCACGACGGAGAGACCCATCATCCATTGGGTGCTGGATCTTATTACTTCAAGGAGCACCTGATCAATTATCTGAATGATCAATGCTCTCGACCCTCGATCGCTCTCCATGTTGGATCTCAGCCAAACTGTAGTCCACATATTGGCAACCTTACCACATTTACTGTGACGTTCGCCCTTGCTGCTGCACTGCGGAAGGAGTTTCGGCGCGAAGTCAGGGTAAAATTCGTATACGTCGACAGCGCTCCATCTCCTGGGCAGGAGGCCAATATTAATGGAGTCATATATCAAAGGAGTCTCAAGCACACGGGTGATTTGGAAGACAACCAAACAACCTTCATGAAAGTCCTAGACCAGCTCTCGCAGATCTCTGGCATAGCGTACGATGTTGAGACCCAAAATCTCTGGCTCTCGCATCCTGCATTCCCTGGTGTACTCCGCATCATCGTGGCCCAGCATGAAGTCCTTGGGCCGCATATGTCCCCAGATAGAGGGAAACTAGCTATTCGAGCGTCCTGTCCGCACGACGGATGCGGACTAACGGACAAACACGGGGTAAATAATCAATACCTCCATGACGGTCGAATCACATTCGCCTGCCCGAACCATGGAGAACATCATGTCAGCCTATCATCCGCTTCGGATCTAAAAAGACTCGAGTTCAACACGCCACTACGCAATCTGATACGGATCCTGATCTGCAGCCAAGACCCGGACAAGTCGTGGATCATGTGTACTGGATCCGACTACGCAGGCTTCTACCAAGAACAATTTACATGGCGACTCCTTGAGTGTCCCGCAAAGGCTCCAATTATCTTCTATTCTCCTCTGATCATTGACTGGTCCGGAGGTAAGCTCTCGAAGAGCTTGTACGTCAAGAAAGGGGCGTACAAGTACTTGTGTGATGCGGGGCGCAGGTACATGCTGGATGCGGACACATTTATGAAAACCGAAGGCGCTCTGAACGCACTCTTCGCGGAAATACAGGATTGGGTAGAAGAGCCAAGAAAGCTCTTTAGGAACTACTCTATTGATTACATCGATAAGCAGCTGATATCCCGAGGGATGAAACTGGTCCAGGGGAACAATTCAGCTTAGCAACATATTAGATATTAACTAAGAACCAATTTTCCATACTCCATACAAAGACATGTGCAGCGTAACGTAGTTGTGAAGTCTCGTGACGAGTTCAAGATCGGATTGGGTTCCGGTGATCCAGCCAAACGTGCCCCAAAATCCAATACTCTCCTAACCCTAGGCCGGACTCTTCGCACCCGAATAACTGAAGAACCCGGTAATTTTCCCCCGTTCAGTAGAGCCACGTGTTTCTTTGGGTTGCTCCGGGGGACTAGAGCCCTTCATCGCCTTCTCCACGGACAGTTCTTGCGGCGCCCTGGCGATTATATGATCCTGCGCGTCCATTGGACAGTTATCCAGGAGAGAGAGTGGCACCCAGCAATACTTCTGCGGGGGACCCTTTAGAAGCCCCGTTGAGATAGCTAGCTTTAGACTGATGGGTTGCTTCAGCCTCCACAGATCAAGGATTTCGTAGGCGTATTTCGAGACCTTTTTGCCTGCATTGAAGTCTGCATTGCCAATACCGCCATCTTCCGGAACCTCACCAGGGACCTTGCCGCGGGAGATATGCGCGACGTACTCAATGCGTGAGACGGGGCGGGTGGTGTAGAACCAAATGTGACGAACGCTGGAAGGGAGGAGGTAACGGCGGTACTCGTGATTTTTGGCGCGTGTCGCGATGTTGTCAATGTGCTCGGGCTTAATGCTCATAAATATGTCTTTGTTCCCTGTCTTGACGGTCTGTACTCTATGCGCTGATGGCTTCTCTTTAGCCATTATGAGACACAGCGCACGGTTGGAGGTTGGAGGTTGGAAGTTGATGCTTCTCCCCCAGAGCTTTCTCACGGAGAACGCGTCGTTGGGAGTCTAACCTCGGTGCAATTCATTTTATGCCCCGTGACACACTAACTCGGAACTAGTGAGCGCCTCAGCGTCAAGCATCTACTCCGTACTCAAGGGACATCAGACGAAAAACCCACGATGCGGACTACAATACGACAAGATATGGTTCCTTCAGCGCTGGGGATATCAAATTATGCTCTGTCGTATCCTTTGCATCGCCATCAACTAGCGAGCCGGACCAAACGTCCCAGACGTGCAACACAGTACCGCGCTCTTGATGGTTAAAGGACATGAGCTCGCCCTCAGGCGTAGGGTTCTCTACTTTCGGGCTCCCTGAATATCACTCTCCTTTTACCGCTGCCCTAAACTATCTCTTCACCCGCTCCCATGCTCTGTACGGCGCATGCACACGCACCTTGCGCCACGGCTACGGTCAGGCCTTGGGCTTGCCAGAAGTGAAGAATATGTTAGTTAGTTAGCTGCCAACTAGCCAACCAAGAGCACAAGCTGTCGATCATTCTTTTCTTTTTGTTGATCTCTGCGCCACCAAATATGCAACAATGTGTGGCCCTCCAAGTTCGCTCTATCGAGAACGTGGGCTTGCAGAGAGATGCTGCGCACGGAAATAGCAGCTAGCTTCTGTCCTCCCCAGTAGACATTCCGGAGAGTTTACGTTCTGCGCAAAGATGAAGTATGGAAAACATATACAGATTATAGATGCAAGAGATGAAGACATCCCCCTTTACGTTTCTTAGAGGGACTTTTCACCATTTCCTGCTACTTTTCCCCTTCATCACACCCCCCGCGCAAGTGAATATTCTCCATCCCCCGTCTCATACATCATAGTACAACTTACCCTCTAAAATCCCTCCAAAAAATTCCAAGAGAAAGCCAAAAATGGGCCATCTCGTCTAAGAACTAATCCAAACGCGCCCTACCCCACGAAAACGCCAGAGACCTATCATTGCGAATATGCCCGTATGTGGGTCAAGATCAAATCCGTCTACGCGCTTATTACAATCACCGATGCTGAAAACGCCACTCTGGCTGAAATGCTGGGGACTTGTTGAGCGGGAAGGAAAAGAATGAAAAACTAACATAGGGGCGGCGGCGGGGTCTGGGGCTGTAGGTTTGGTGTATACGTTCAGAGCAGAATATAGATACTCTCGGTTCTATTTTCGCGATTATATATTGCATTTTTCATATCTAAACTTACGCAAGAGGGTTTTTCAACGGGCGAACACACATACCTCCTGTGACGTATTGCGGACGGACAAAAACAAAGGCAAGGCAAATATATATATATATATATATAGATCCTAATACTCAATTTTTAATTGTTTCTGATGATCTTAGTTCAGCCCTTTTATCTATTAACAAAAGAACAAAATCCACGCCTAGCGGCAATAAAAAGAAACAATGCAAATATAGGGGGGGAACGGGGGGAGAGGGGATATACAAAAAGGGAATAAAAAAGCAAAAAAGCAATCACAAGGCAATTAATTAGATGAATCGATCAATCATCCACCAATCCAATCGCCAACCACCAAAAATTACCGCAAAAATAAAACATAATTTTTTGCTGTTCCCCAATCGTAGTAATAGTTAATGATAATAACAACAAATCTATGATATCCATCCCATTATCCAGCTCGGCCAATATAACACCTTAGAAAATGTTAAAAAATATATAAAAAAAGGCGGAGAAAATGAAATGAAAAGAAAAGAAAAGAAAAGAAAATTTGCGTGGTCTCTTTTGTAGGGGCAAGGGTTATCTTGATAACAAATCACCCAAAAAGTGGCTCATGCATACAATTAATTAAACCCACAGGAAAGGAAGATAGTGAGAGGGAGAGAGCGAGTGTGTGGTATTATTTTGTTCCCAAACCCCCCTAAGCCACAAAACTAGAGGTAGGAAAGAAAAAGAAATTTTTGAAGGAAGTCAAGTTTGTTGACTCCATGGAATATCAATAAAGTAAGGAATCAATAAGGGAATGAAGGGAATTGATTTAGAGAGAATGATACCCGGCCCCTCCAATTTTTCCTCCCGGAGCACAGAGAGCCACGAACGAGTCTGATACTTTATGATAGTAGATTCTTTAGCGACGGACTCGCACTGGCTCCCGATCCAGATCCACCCGTCGGTACATTTGTGTTATGAAAGCGCCCAGAGCTACTGGGCCTCGTAGACGTATTACCTGATGGTGCAATATTTTCATCCCCAGCTGCAGGGGTGGCCGGGCGCGGCGGGTCAAGGGTACGACGCGTCGATGAAGGCGATTGATGGCCTGGTGCAGCGGGTCGCTCGGCTGAGAACATACGAGAGTTCGGCTGGAGTGCATTTAGGGTATGCGGTGGGGAGAAATGAGGGACTGGGGAAGTAGCGGAGGAGTTGTACGACCTATTTGAGGTGGCTGGGGGAGGTGGCTGTGGTGGTTGTGATGGGCCATGCCCATTAGGAGGTGGTAACTGAACTGGACCATATGGGCTCTGGTGAGCAGAGTATGAATGTGGGAGTGGAGGAGGGACGCCGTTTCCATAGTGGTGTTGCGTAGGGGGCGGAGAAGGACCTTGGTGGTGCGGTGGGAGAGAAGGGTGATAGCCATTAAGGTGCTGTGGTTGGGGAGGAGGAGGAGGAGGAGGAGGAGCGGGGCCGCCATGGAAATTTCGTGGTCCAAGTGATTGAATGCTAGGTGGTGGAGGAACACCGGGTGGTATATGATGCATGAGTATTGGACCATAATCGGGCGACCGTTGTTCGTAGTCCGGACGCCAGTCTGCCGCACCGTGTCCATGAACCTGTACCATTGAGGGGATAGGTAGATTTGGGGGTTGCGGTGCCGGGTGGGCATGTGGTGATGGCGAATACTGGTTCTGAGTGAACTCGGGAATACGGGTCGCAGGTAGGCTTGGATCCCGCTTTGCGGGGTATGGAGAAGGTCGAACTTCCGGTTCTACTGGTGACGTTGATTGCTTTTTGATATGGCATTTATGGCATTCATGCAGAGTTCTAGACCTTGGAGAGCCTCGCGGCGGGTTTTGATTGGACGAAATTGTGCGGTCCGCATCGATCATAAGGACATCCCCGTTTAACGTAGGCCCGGGCGGCACCTTTTCCGCGTGAGCAGATGGTGCTTGGAAGGGAGAGCCACCTGTTTGGGTTGCGTTGGAATAAGCCGGACCAGAACCATCCGTCGTGCCAACGCCGTTCATCACAAAGCGGTTTTCACCCACGGGCGCGGAGAATTCCAAAGATGACTCGACCGTCCACCACTTCGGACTGAATCCGGATTTGCAACTGAAGCACGTTTTATTGTCGGTAGAGGTTATAGAATGGCCATTGGCCTCCCTAATGACGCTGCTTCCATGGCTCGGAGTTGTGGATTCTGCTGACGGTTTATTATCTTTGGTGTGGTGTGGGGCACTTCCATTGACGGAAACTCGTCGGTTAGGCGGGTGGAAGCCATTCTGAACCGATACCCCAACAGATTGTTGGACATGTGCGGCTTTCCGAACAGTACCCGTTAGTGTGAGGTCGGCTTGCTTGGAAATCTGACAATAATGTTGTAGTGCATTTAAACCCGGAACCTCACTAGGCTCACTCATTTCATGGACAATGGTCGAAATGGCATGGTGAGGGCACCAAATAGCAGGCGTAGCCGCACCCACCTCGTCACCCAATTTCATCGTGTTAACGGTGTCTCTTCGACTACTCTTGACTGGGGTGATATCAAAACCGAAAATGTATCCAGATCGACTGGCACATCCGACATGAAATCGTGCATTGCAAGGGGTGTTGTGGCAGGAAACGCATGCGCCTTGGTCCGTCTTGCAGATATCGCAAGTATCTCGGAATCTTTCAGCAGGGATCAGTCCAAATCCCTCAGCAGGTTCTAGCTCCTTTGCATTGCCAAACTTAATTTCGGGCACCCATACTGCGCAAGCAACGTGAACCCAATTGTTTCCAGCAGTTCTTTTGAGCGGTTCGCGGGGACCCGTCGGTTTCCCAGCCTCCTTCTGTCGTATTTTATAAAGTTTGCTAGCCTCTGCAACCATTTCTTTCTCCAGTCGCTCCTTTTCACGCTCTCGGTCTGTTTTCTTTTTGTGAGAGACCTTGGGCGGTTCCATCAACTCATGCTCAGTGTATGTAACTGGGCATAAAACGCACTCATACGACGTTGAAATAGCGGGGTTCCTGTCGTTCAAGCACATATCGCAGAACCATTTAGACGAGTTCCATGAAGGGTTCACGCCGTAGCAAGCTCGATGAACAGTCAAGCGGCAGTCACGACAGGACAGATGCTGATCACCCATGGGTTCCATTTTATTGCATACTGCGCAGGGGAGAGTCTTAACCCTAGGTGGCTCGGGAGCAATTGGCGGGGGTTCAGCAGGCTTCTCAACCACCTTCTTCTTCGGAGCAGGAGCGGGTTCGGCCGGTGTAGTAGTTCCAGGAGCGCTGCCGTTCTGATCAGATGACTTCACCTTCTTCTTAGGAGGTTCCGTAGGAAGCGGAGGGGGTGCAACCACTTCTGCAGTCACGGGAATTCCTAACGAGGTTGCTATTGTTGCTGTAGTGCTATTGATTTTGACATCGGTCTCAGACGAGGTGAGAAGTTGAACCAGTAGCTCCTCCTCGTAGCGCCGGCGCCATGACTTATTCCCTCCTTGTCCAATCTTCTTGACGACTTCATCAGCATCTTCCCACTGAATACCATACTTTCGCCAGAGAACAGCACATCGTTGACAAATGGCAACAGTGAGACTCTGAACCGCTTTATCTCGTTTCGGGTCTGCAGGAACGGCAGAACCAGGAGGGGTTCCAGGAGCCCGCCTCCACTGTCTGGAAGACCTCGTCGAACAGAATTTGCACGTAAAACCTCGTTTCTTGTCTTTGGCCTTCTCGTTATCAAATGCCGAATCATCGTGGTCATCTGCGACATCGTCAACTAGCTTTAACGCATTATCTGCTTGCTTTGCTGCTTTCCTTCCTTTTCGTCCATCGAAATTGCCCCAAATTTGACGACCTTTCGGAGTTTTCTTCCACATGTAATAATATCGAACGATGTGGCGATGTGGGACAGTTCCGACATGCTTTGTCACGTTTCGAAGCTCGGAGCCGTATTTTGCCACCCCGTTTTCAAACGCCTTAACCTCTTCTGGACGGAGATGTGGCTCCTTGAGATCTGAGTACTTATTAACTTGTTTCAGTCTTGTAAGTGCAGCTTCCACATTAAAATTTTCTTCATACAGAAGTGCAAGTGCCTTGTCCAGGAAGTTCGTAGAATATTTCTCAACGTTGAGAGAAGGGGCGATTTCTTTGGCTTTTTCCATGTACTCGTCGATGAATTTTTCACGGTCGGTATCACTTATGGAGGGCCCCGGAGCATCATCTTCACCACGGGGTGGAAGTTGCGAAGGGTCAGGCATCTTGAAAAGCAGTTCTGCGGTGTTGATATGTTTCCCGTTCACGGTAACTGGGTCGTCTTCTCCGCGAGGAATATACCCCACAGGTTCATCTTGAACCCATTTCGGTCGTTTAGCTCGTTCAGCTTTCTCAGCTTCTATTGTTGCAATTGCTTCTCTGGAAAGTTTAACATCTTTTTTATTCATAGACTTGATGTTCCTCTTTTTCGGTTCGACAGCTTTGACATATTGAACTGGGTGGCCATGCCATGGGATAACGTTAGCTTGATGGCGTGGGCCTATTCGAGAGCTGGCACGTGGATATATTCTATCGTCATAGTCCAAGGCATCTTCTACTCGACAATGTATTCCCAAATACCTGAAAGGCCAACGTTTTGCCTGAGCGATCTGCTCACTAGTGGCAGGTCGAACTACGTCCGGGAGGGCAGGAGTGCTTCGTTCGGTGGTTTCTGCCAGAGCAGCGGGGTCTTCTTCTTCTTCCTCTGGAAGCTCTGGTTCCGTTTCGGCTGACGCTTCTCCGATGATGGGAGTATTTCTTGCCTCAAGCTTTCGCTCTTGCGCACGACTGCATGGGGCACAAGCCCAAGCGAACCCCCGTGCCGGTTTCTTTTGCAGAACAGGCCGAACACAGTACATATGGTATGTACTGTGGCAGACAGCACAATCCACCGAATCCGTACTAGTAGTAGAATTAGTGAGCCGTCCCAATATAAATATAATAAAGAGGTGGAAAGAGATAAATAGCTACACACTTTGCGGCATATAAACTACATTTTTTGCAGGTTTTTACCGCGCTGGTCAAATCCTTTCTACGGCCTAACTCCACCAAGACGTACTTCCACCGTTCATCCAGGACTTTCTTGACATTTTGCGGTACATTTATGACCTTACTCGTCGGAATAACATCGTAATATCTCTGGATGTAACGATCATACATCTTCTCAAACCAAAAGCAATCCTTAGACTTCCTGTATTCATCGAGGTTTGTGATTTCGGAGTGGTGTTTGATGTCGCATTTGCCACGAAGTGAGGATAACGGACATGTATCGGAGTGCATTGAGGCGAAGACGACGCGCAGATCGGCAACGTTACGGTGGATGTCGCGGGGTCGATAATACCAATTAACCCTTATGCTTTCGATGGGGCCGTCGGGGTTATCTTTGGATGGTAGGAATTCCATAATGCGAGCAAGGTAGTAGGGTTCGCCGGGAGGTTCGCACACCAAATACACATGGTCTAGCACAGAGGAGAGAAGCTTAAGTTAGATAGTCACGGCAAACTTGGGGGTTGATAAATCTATCGGAATTGTAGAATTAAAACGTCAAGCGCCACATCTCAAGCTCACTTACCATTGGGACCAAGAATAGTGCCATCGTCTGCTTTCAGCTTTCCTTGTTTTAGATATGCCTGACAATTGTTAAAGGTCAACATGTTCTGTACATGCGTTTTCTGGTATTCGGGGGACACGTTTGCGGGGGCGATAAATTTCTTAGTGGATGAGAGAGAAGTGGTGTTTGGCGTGGACGACGCAGGAGTAGAGTGATGAGAACCAGGTTGTTTTCGCTTCTTTGTCGCCGTATAACTATTGCTACTGGGATTGGCAGAAAATGACGACGTTCCGGGGATAGATTCTTTCGTCCGCGGAGCAGTATTCGAGCCATTTGTGGTCGCATGTCTTCGCGTGTTCACCCCAGTTGCCTTGTCATTGTCCGTGCTTGGGGACGTTGCGCCGTGGTTGTTGGATGGTGGTCTCTTGGAACCGCCAGACCGCGACATTGAAGCAACAAGCTCATATTCGGTATCAATGTCGCGATCCTCCGCGTAGTTTGGTCGAGCGCCGCCAACTCGATTTCTAGAACGGGTGCCATATGGAACGGCTCCAGTCGCCGACGGAGCGGTGGTGTTCTGAGGAATAGCATCAGAGGCCGGAGAGGACGCAGAGGTGGTGGTGGCAGTGGTCATTGATTCGGGCTGGAGACCATTTACAACAGGGTTAAGTTTGGGTGCAGTCGAGTCACTGGTTCCGCTTCGCGAGGAAGCATTTTGTGCAGACAACTGGTCGGTGGCCTTAGTAGAAGGGGAATGGTTACTGTCCGGAGTCGCAGTGGCCGACTGCGACGAGGACATTGTTGAAGTTCAGGCGTAACCTGTCGAAAAACGGTTGGCGTATTGATACATCCACAACAACGGGGGAGGAGTGTTGGGTGTTAGTGGAGGTTACTTTTTTAAGATTAGCGGTTGTGAATATTAGTGGCGGAAACGATGATGGTTAGTAGTAATAATGGTGGGTGGTATGTGTGGTGTTTAGAGTGGTGATGGGGTTTGTGTAGCAAAAGAATGGGTGAGTGGTGCTAAGCAGATCAACGTGGGAGAATGTATCCATGGATGAGGATTGCCCATGAATAGCAGAGCTGTGACAAAACAGACTTTGGCGGACGAAGGCTGTGGCTGTTCAGGGATGGGAGGAGGAGGAGGATGCAGGGCGGAGAACACCACAAAGAAGAAACGCAGGCGCGGATATGATGAAACAGGCTTGGGGATCAGGGCCGGGATAGGGTTGCATATGAGAAAAAACGAGAAGCAAGAAAGGGAAATAAAGGGAATGGGAGAGAGAAGTGAGAAAGACCGGGAGGAGAACAAGAACAGTGAGCGCAGGAAGATTTTGGGCTTAGCGGGTGGGATTTATATGAATGATGGTGAAAAGAGGACTGGACTAGTCAGAGAGCGGGCATGGATCTAGTCTATCAAAAATCTCACCGCACAGCAGGAACTAGGGTAGGGGGAGTCAGTCGCACAGGGGAGCACGAAGGCGTGTGGGGAAAAGGATGATTTGATATTAGGAGCTGGGCGAAACGACTACAGATCCGACAGAATTATTGGGAAGCCAAGAGAGCGCCGGAGGTGAGAGGGGGATGAGCGGAGATGGACCATGGAGCATGGAGGATGGAGGAAGGAGGAAGAGATGGAGGTGAGAAGAGTGGGAAATGAAGATAGAGGGACAAGCAAAGAGGGAGCAGTACCTGAGAGTACGGATGGGGGTCCGTCGTGTAGGGGACCGGGAGGAACAGCCAGGAAGAGGGAACAAGCAGCTGGAAGACTGGCGATATGGCTGATATCAAAGTGGTTGTGGCGTGGGGAACGCGAGAGCAGCTGGGATATCAGAGGGAGAGGATAGAAGAAGGGAGAGGGGGAGAGGAGGGATGAAGAGAAGGAAAAACAAGAAGATAGATGGAGGATGAGGAACAGGGTAAGAATGAGAGAGGGCCCAGCAGGCGAAGTGAAACGAGAAATGGGAGCGAGAGAGACAAAAGAGAAAGCAGGAAGCCGAGAAAAGTCGAGAAAAGTCGAGGAAGAGGAGAAGAGAAGTTTTGGCTCCGTAAGAAGCGGAAGTCAGTCGGCCCCTGCAGGAAACCCACCCACTCGGGCCTTTGGTCGTGTGTGATAAATGATGATGATGACGATGATTGATGATTGATGATGAAGAGATGGAGAGGATGTTGGCAATTGACGCCCTACAACGAAAAGATGGGAACCATATATTGCTATGAATCCATTCCTACGGGTGGGCGACCTCGTGCTATAGAAGAGATAGTTATCTCTAAAATTACTTCTTCCTTCTGCATGGATTCTGCTTGAGAATTACGATTATGACCCGGCAACAATGAAATTGATGATCATGCCCGAACCTTCAGTTTTCTCCAGAACATCCAATCTACCAGTGCCTTTCCCACCACAGCTTACATGCATTGTTCTGAGCGGTCTTGCATCTGGGCAGGCGACATGATGGATGCAAATCCCCACAGGCCCGCCTGGTTAGTGTTAGTGGGGATAAGTCGCCTTGACCCCTCTTGTTTCCAGCAACCATCCTCTGTAGAAAATACTACATCGTAAGAAGATTCTTCTGGCTGTGCCCGATGCTCAAGATACACCAGCCTACAAAGTTAATAATCCGTTATATCCATGGATCGTTTGTAATGTTTAAAATGTGTACGATTGACCGTGGCCAATAAGCAATAAAATCAGCAAGAAGCTACCGCATCTACAACACCTACTTATCAGGCAGATAGACAGTATCATTATTCAGTTCTTTACCCAGATTCGACGGCTAGGAGAAGATAAAAGGAGAAGAGGAGAGAAGAACAAAAAATAAAAGAAAAGGAAAGAAAAGAAAGGAAAGGAAAAAGAACAGCTATATCTCCAGTGAGATATAACACATGCCCTCCCTATAGGGAAAATAAGAACCAGTTAGCTATTGACCTTTCGCGAGCTCGCACAACCAGCCAACATCAAGGCAAACTGTGATCGTTTTCCTTTATTTTTTTTGTCCTTTGCTCAACCACACGCCGCCCGCTCCGCCAAGTTCCATTTCTGTGCGCCCTTCCAATATGACTGGCGAGAAGTCTAAGAAATAACTTCCACTACGACAAACATAAACTTTACTTTCTTGGCAGATACCGTGTTTCCGCAACGTTGGGTGCTCCTTATGGGGGATGAATGCAGGACAAGGCATGGTCCGCTGGATGAGGGTTGAAAATTTCCAAATATCCCCTTGCATTCGACTTTTTATTTTTATCGTTACTCCTGGCCCCAGGCCTTTGTCGAAAGGACATGTTCCATTGCCATCCATGTTATTGGGTGACTAGCATGGCGTCCGTGTATCCACAACCACAGACACGCGGGAAATTCTTCTTATTATCGTAATTCTCATCATTTGATTTCATGCCGACTGGTTTGCATCGCAGTCCCCAAAATCAGAGACGCCTCTCTCATCCGACAGAACACCCCACAACTCAATCGTACAGAATGAAATTCCAAGGACCTCTGCTTGTTTCCTTTCAATCAACTGGGGGTGGCGAGGGATTCCTAAGTTACCCATCCTGTTCACCCGATACCCTTTCTTGAGTTGAAAAGGGCTGTGCTTGTTTCCACTACCTCTCCATCGCCAGTGCCAGCGGAACTAAAAATGGGTTTTCTGTGCACTAACCCTGTACTTAACCAGGTAGCTGATAAGCTTCCAAGTTACATTGATTTATTCCGCAAGGTGGACTTCACTAAAATAGCAAAAACGCGAAACACAACAAGTTAACAGCACATACGGAAATCCTTCCCCACGTGCCCTCCGGAGTGCTTTCTGATGTTCCTAGCAACTCTGACACTGGTAAACATTGCAAGCAGCACAGGTTCCTTCACTGTGCCCCAATATGCCTCTTTCAGCACGAACTCGGCAAATTTGTACTCTACCTGTACAAGTACGCGTACCAACTCCCTCTGCTAGTAGAAGTGGGTATCAAACCGAGAATTTTTCCACTAAGCTAAAAGGGAACATTTCAGGTTTCCTATGAGCGTGCGCGCTTGGATCCTGCTGGGGTGCGCCGTTCGACGGTTGGACCAATGATCAACCGCTAAAGTATGTTCGGAGTGCAAATTGCACAACTTGTTCCCTGAGTTAGTTCAGCCACGGCCCTGATAACTTAGCCATGACTCTCCAGAATGGAGAGCGCTATTTAATTTTGCATATCGTTTCAAAAAAGAGCAATAAAATCGATCGGGATATCCTTTTTTCGGGGCTAGGTTACCTACTCAATTTGGTCACGGAGTAGCCATTATTATTACAAGTGGACCTTTTGCGAGTCATTGCGCCGAGACATGCCCGCAGCCGTCCTCGTCGCGTTTACTGCTTTTTTTTTTAAATACTTCCAGGAATCAGACATCCACCTGTTTACTCTGTAGTTAGATTATAGATTGCTCGTTATGTAGCTTCGAGAGTTGGTCTTTGGTTCACCACATCCTCCTTTTGTCCTCTATTAACAGATGCTCTCCCATTGAACACGGCAATTGTTAAAGGGGAAAAACATCCGTAGCTATAAGGAATGCCAAATGAATGCCAAATGAATGCCAAATGAATACCTTAACAGCTATGAGGTCTTCTATTGACAACTTCGGCCTATCTCACCTGTTGTCCCAGACGCTTGTCTGGTCTGTAAAATCTTAGCGACGAGTGTAAGATGTCTATCTGTCTGCCTAGATGCTAGCTAATGAACAAACTTACTGCGTAGTTTCCTTTCCACCGAACGAACATCAATGAAGATGCAGCCTTGGTTGATTTCCGTTTAAGTGATATATTTGCCTTTCAAGTCCAGCGGCGATTCCTTCTCTCCTCGAGGTGCTATGGAGCAACCTCGATTAAATAAATAAGAACGTTCTTCCAGTGTTATGTACAGTACAATGTTGCAGATGAAGCGTCCCTTTATACCCGCATCACGTAACCCATCACATAGGTGAAGGCATGTTCCATGCCAGCGCACACTACAAAGCTGGAGTTCGGAAAACGGAGAAACATCACTGGTCGATATCTCCACATCATATGCAAGCAAAAACAATGCATAAGTCCAGCCACGATTTCCACCTATCAGTGGTTCTCTTTGCCGCTTGAGCACGCTCAACCAATGAAACTCCGATCACCAGGAAGCCAAACATGTAACTACTATCCATACATGTACATCGATCAATTCCGGGTTTGTCAGCCACCCGCTCCTCTGAAAGGCATTTAGAGATGCTGAGAACCTGCGGTTACAGCTGGACAGACAGACACCTTGATCGGTAAATTTGGGAGTGCAGGTACGCTCTCAGCTGGTAGAATGTGATGTAGTCGAGTACTGTCTCCGTCTTCCTTTATTGAGTTTGGCCGACTCTTTCCATTTCAGCCAAATTGGCACTAGGCAGGCAGCTTGCTCGGATTTCACGTCAAATACCAGATCCAGAGCTTGCGAGATCAACCCGAGACCGGAAGTTGTGCAAGACGACGCCATGTCTGGATATATGGCAACGCCTTGTAGCTAGTAAAGCTCGAGATGAATTTCCTTAGGGGCATGAAAGATGAGTGATGCGGTATACCCGGATCGTGACAATAGGTCGATGTTTGGAAGTTGACATGTTAGAGTAGGTAAGAACTTATCTTTGGGTGCGTCCGGAAAATTAGAAAGTCCGAAAGGCCGAGCGGCAGCCATCACTACTTATTTACAAGAGCCTTACCTCGAGGGCTAGTGCCTATTCAAGGTCACGGTTTCTATCAAAGCACACAAACATCTCATAGATCCTCCGTCCACAGACCTTCCGAAACCACCAATACCCATGACCAAAGATTGTTGCCGTAACTTTCAAGTTGGTTGGGTGGAAAGAAGACAGTTTCACCTAGTCGAACGGTGCCTGCGACGTGCTTTCGCAAGCTTTACATCCACCACAATTTACCAGGAAACATGGAACCGTGCACAGTCAACTTGAAGATTCTTGATTGAGGGTTCGAAACAGCTGCAATGCTCAGGTCTTCATTGTGCAGGCTCTTGAAGTTAGACCTAATCCTCAATACTTCCAATCAAATAGAAAATTGGTTGCCAAAATATACGACCTTCTTAATTTCAGCAATGAGGAGGGATTTATTAATCCTGTTCATTGCGTGGACAAGCATTATACCCACGAGGCTCATGCTTACGAAGTCCTATCCAAGTTGCACGGGGGCCGAGTACCCAGGATCTATGGGTCTTATTCATTGAATATTCCTGTTGACAGGTCTGAAATGCGCACCGTTCGAAAATTGACTCTTGCTCGCTGATCTAAGGCCTAGAGATGTCACCATGGTGGAGAATCCTGGCTTTGAAGACAAGATCTTGTTGTCTTTGACTTCACTGATGCTCCCTTCGGTCGCAGAAGAGATGATCCAGTTGCTATCAAAATCAAATCTATTCCTCAGTCAGTATATTTCACCTCTTCTACAGTGGGACAAGACTCTGGCAATGCAATTTAATGACTGGATTGATTGGGATTGGCGGTTCTGGATCGAAGTTGAGTATGCTCACATTGCTGCAATGACCACATCAGAGTAAAGAAGTAAATGTTCTTTTCAGAGTCTGAATACTGTGTAATTAATTGAATAATCTCAGCACTTAGCTTCATTAGATCACTCATCTATAATTCAATTAGTGAATATATCTATAGAGAAGATCTATCTATCTGAAGTAAAAATCTATTACAGAAAAAAAGAAAAATAATAAAACAATAATGCATTTAAAAGACTATTTAACAAATTGAAGTAAAAGGACACTTACTAAAAAGATATGGGATAAATGAGGGGGGAATGAATATGTTGGGAATGGGTCGGGAATCTGAAGAAGGATTTTAGAACTCTATAACAATAAAGATATACTAGGGGCAGCCTGCCCGTAGCAACCCTCTTCCGGGGGTGGGCAAACGAACCTCTAAATCCCAGGGGATGAAGGCATCTTTAATTTCTTCAAAGTGTTGGAAAGCTCAGGCACAACATTCAAGAGCAGGAACGTCATGAAACATGCAGCTGGGCAGGACGGAGCGAAAGTGCGAAGCCATATTATTCATTACGTTGCTATTAAACATCATCACCACAGATATCATCGCTAGATATCATCATTGATATATCATCAGTGGATATCATTCATTCAAGCAGGTCAGTAGATAGGTGGCAGAGCGAACTAAAAAATACTTCAAAGAAGTAGAAGATATTGAATTTATATATTATAATGAAGTAAAACATCGCTATTCTACAACAATATCAAGTATTGATAACTTGTAGATATAACATCACAACTATCACTGTCTCTGAGATATATGTGAAAAATGATTGTTGATGAGATATGTGGGAGATGTTGCAGGTTTCACATCACATGACCAGGAATTGGCTTAAAACAGCATCAAAAATGGGATGCTCTGAGTGGCATCTTACAGACGATAGAGGTATTCTTGCTTGACTAAGACAACATCACAATAACCAGGAGCCGAGTGTGATAACAAAACAATATGATGATAGAAAAATTTTTGACAATTTCCCTGTGTTGTTCCTGTTTTATTTTTGGGCAACACCAAATGCGAAATGAATCCTTTTCCAGCCTCCATCCACTCGCGAGAACCTGAAGAACCTGAAACATCTATTGGTATAGCGCGACAACAATCCACCACGTCTTTCGCAGGAACAAAGCGGTCTCTCACTGGAAACATCTTGTTTCCGCAGATTCCGAGTATAAATCAGCAGTCAATCCAAACAGTCAGGAAAAGCACGGCTTTAAAGTCTAACGGCTTTATTCGTCCAACTTTATCATCCACAGCAAACACTACACGTATCATTGCAAGCCAAATACGTGATGTGCCGGATGCAGTGGGGATATCCAGTGATACCATATCTGAATACTCGCAACGGCAAGCTGTTTCATCAACCCCAGGACCATCGCAGAATCCTCTGCTCTCACTTTCACATCAATCCTATGGGTTGCCCCCTCAGTTGGTTGCCAATTTTGCCTCTCTAGGCGTGAACTGTATCTATCCATGGCAAGCTTCCTGTCTTCTGGGTCGAGGCCATCTCACTGCGGAAAAGAACCTCGTATACAGTGCGCCAACTGGCGGTGGAAAATCCCTGGTAGCAGATGTGCTGATGCTGAAACGTGTCATTGAGGATCCAGCCAAGAGAGCTATCCTTGTTCTTCCCTATGTTGCTCTCGTGCAGGAGAAGCTCAAGTGGCTTCGCCGAGTAGTTGAAGGTGTGGATAAAAACGTTGACATGCCGACCACTGCAGACGAGGCCTCCTCGGCACCCAAATGGAAACAACCGCAGAAGTCCATTCGGGTTACAGGATTTTTTGGCGGAAGCAAAACTAGAGCTACATGGACTGATACTGACATAGCCGTTTGTACTATTGAAAAGGTTTGATAGGCGTCTGTTCTTGTTTCGAGCAGCATGGAGAATATCTGGCTAATCCCTCCACTTTCCCATTAGGCTAATTCGTTAGTGAATGCTGCCATTGAGGAATGTAGCATTAATGACCTGGGCGTTGTTGTCTTGGATGAGCTCCATATGCTTGATGATGAGCATCGTGGTTATCTGATAGAGATTATGGTTACAAAATTATTGTTATTACAGCAAGATATCCAAATCGTTGGTATGAGTGCCACATTATCGGTTGGTGCTCCATAATTGCAAACCGAAGAAGAACTTTTACTCACGAACCCGTAATGCTAGAATACTGAGGTCCTCGCGAAATGGCTGCATGCGAATTACTATATTTCCAAATATCGGCCTATACCTATTCAAGAGCATCTGGTCTACAACAATGCAATATATCCCGCCACAAGCTCAAAGGAGTTCTTTAGAACAGCTATGCAATTAAATAAACCTGACTCATCGCCAAATTATTCCCTTGCGTGCAGAATAATTGACCGATCGATGCATAAGGAGCTTGGGAACCCAACTGCCAATGCCATGGTATCGTTGGCCCTAGAAACTGCTCTCTCCGGATATGGCGCTCTCGTGTTTTGTGGCAGTCGACAAGCATGTCAGAGTAATGCGGTGCTTGTTAGCCATGCGATGCCAGACGAAACAGCGTTGGACAATGATCTGTTGGAACGTCGGATGGATCTAATCGCGGGGCTGCAAAGCCTGCCTTGTGGGCTTGACCCTGTATTGCAAATGACGGTCATCAAAGGAGTGGCTTTTCACCGTTAGTGTTTAATGATTTTCACCATTTTCCAAACGATAAGTGAACTTATCATGTTTGAATGATCTTAGATGCCGGCTTAACGACGGAAGAACGCGATTTAATTGCGGAGGCATACGATAAAGGCACCCTTAGGGTGCTAATCGCTACATGTAGCCTAGCAGCTGGGATCAACCTTCCTGCACGACGAGTTATTCTTTGTGGGGCTCGAATGGGCCGCGATTTGGTTGGCCCAGCTATGCTGTATGTGCTTTGATACACCTTGAACCCCCCCCTTTCTGAACCATGACTGAGTTTAATAGACGGCAGATGCGAGGGCGAGCTGGTCGGAAGGGCAAGGATGAGGTTGGGGAAACTTACCTCTGTTGCCAAAAAGACGACCTAGAGGCAGTGGCAGAATTACTGGAGGCAGAAATGCCTGCCATCGCCAGTGGTTTAACCCCTGAAAAAAGGGGCATTAAAAGGTTCCCCGAATCAACTGTTGATCATCCCTTTGTTTATTTACTACAGCTAATGTCAGAGTTGACTAGGGCGCTTCTTGAGGCAATTGCGACTAGACTTGTTTCTAGCCGGGAGTCCATCAACGAATATGTAATGTGTACCTTGCTCTACCAGAATATGGAAGCAGCTGAGCTATTTTCCATGGTGGACAAGACACTCGAGGACCTAGTCGACAACGGCCTCGTGGATCTCGAGCAGGCCGAATCTTACGAGCCGACGCGACTAGGGCAAGCTGTGGTATCCTCCTCGCTCAGCCCTGAAGATGGTATTTTCATTCACGACGAACTGAAGCGTGCCCTTAAATCCTTCGTCATGGACGGGGAGATGCATATTTTCTATATGTTCGCGCCTCTTCAAAATTCAAGTCCCACTGATATCGACTGGTCGATTTTTCGGGACCAAATGAACAACCTTGATGAAAGTGGTATTCGTGCATTGCAGTTTGTAGGCGTAGAGCCTGCGTTCGTGAACAAAATGTAAATCAATCTAAGATCCCATCCATCGGTCCCTTCTGGTGGAGCCATTCGTTCGTAAACATATGTCGAAACGGAAACCTCAAACCTCAAAGCTCAATCCCACGAAACTAGTCCGCTAATTTTTAGTAACAGGGCACAGTCCGGAACTCGAATAAAGGACGAGACGATCGCACGCATCTATCAACGCGCATATACAGCCTTCCAGCTACGCGACCTCAGTAACGAAGTCCCCATATCAACAATCGCGCAGAGATATAACATCCCGCGAGGCAATGTCCAAACCCTGGCACAAACATGCCATGGATTTGCTGCAGGTATTGTTAAATTCTGCCAACGCATGGGTTGGGACATGCTGGCAGTCGTGCTAGACCACATGCGTGACCGTCTGCATGCCGGAGCTCGAGCTGACCTGCTGGAAATGGCCCAGGTGGCATATGTCAAGAGCCGAACGGCAAGGTTATTGTGGGAGAATGGTTTCAAGTCCTTGAGGGCGCTGGCTGAGGCTGACCCAAAGGACCTGGTGCCTGTTTTGATGATGGTGAGCTACGGTTTCCTTCCATGAAAACAATACTCTCCCGCTGGTTTGCGGGTTCATAATTCATAACCTCTTCTTCAAGAATACTACTATTGTTGTATTTCCGCGGCTAAAGGTCGAGCGCAATATGCTGTCTGACAGGCCCAGCCACGAAATACGAACCTCCAAGGTTCGCAACGTGTTCCCGCGAAGCTTCTCGCAAAAGCAGAGATCATCGTTGCATCCGCCAATAAAATATGGGGTAAGTTGTCCGTCCGAGGGGATTTTCTCCCCAAGTATTTCCCCTCAAATAAGCATAGTCCTAAGTCATGGGCTACATACGGAGTACATAACTCAACGTTCTAACTTGTCTTCTCCATGACTAG